TCAGGATATCAGTTCAAGTTCCTCATATTTCTGTCTTCTCTCAGTTTAAATTGTGCACTGTGAATGTGAACTGAATCCTGATTTTGAAACCAAAAAGTCTAATTGTAAAACCTGATGTAAATCATCAGGTTTGAGCTAGGATAAATTTAAAATGGCACATTATGAGGACCAAATTGCCATAAACTGAATCTCAAACAAGTATAAATATTGTTACACCCAAAGGAGAAGTTTATTTATTTTAACTGAATACTCTTAGATAAAAGATTAACCATTATCCACAGTCTCACAAAGAAGCTATTCATAGATATTAATTTTCGTCACAGTTTGGTATGTCCTGCCATAAAAATTATTCACAGGAAACTTCTCTTAAAACAATATCTCATAGATTCTCTGTTAAACTTTTGCAATGGCTGCATTTGGAGTCTTGTGATCAATAAGTGTAAAATTATTCAAAGGAACACTGCGGGCCTGGCTAACCATTAACAGTATGTCAACATGAACGCGGCTGCTACTGTCCTGCTTATTCATGTGGTGTCAGGAGAAATATAAAGTTGTGAAACGCATCACTGTCACTGCTGAGGTGTGAAGATGAGACACACATAGCCAAAATCAATTGGTTTTGTTTAGGATTCAAGAATTCATGAGTGTTTTTAAATGTGGTTTTCCAAAATAAGGTCAGGTTTCAAATCCAGTCTTTCTGTAAGAATTATTACTGTGTGAAGTTAGTGATTTGGTCCCTCCTTTTATCTCCATTTCTCTGGGATTCGGACTAGCACAAAGACTAGGACTCAATTTTCCTAATAATTCAAAATGATATTTCATTCTATAATACACCAAATACTGCAACATAATTCATATTTAAATTAATACAGTCTTGGTTTAATTCTGGCTTAGTCTGACTCAATGACTCTGGTTTATAGGTTAAGTTCAGGTTAAATCCAGTTTAAATCCGGGTTAGATCCGGGTTAAATCCGGGTTAAATAAATGTTAAATCCGGGTTAAGGTCAGGTTAAACCCAGGTTTAGTCTGTCTTAAATCTGGGGTTGGTCCGTGTTTAGTCCAGGTTTAGTCCTGGTTTGAGATAGACAAGTTTAACCTCTAATGTGGAACATTCTAGACAAAGCAATAACATCTCCATGGAGACAAACAAATGATGAACTCTCCACCTGAAAAGTTACACAGTGCACTTTAAAGTCATTTGCAAACAACAAAATGTCCTATTGTTTTTATTATTTAATTAATCATTGAATTTATATAGCACCTTTCAAGATACCCAAAGCGTTACATTTCATTATTCATTCACTCAACACTGGTTGCTGGTAAGATACTACTGAAGCCACAGCTGCCTTGGGGCAGACTGGCGGAAGCGAGGCTGCCAACCCGCGCCATCGGCCCCTCCAACCACCAGCAAACTCACGCACTCACCACTTTCATATTAGGCAATGTGAGTAAAGTGTTTTATATTATCAATTAATCTGCTAAGAAAAACACTGCCAACCCTGTAGTTCAGACTTTTACAATCATGTTCTGAAATATAATGTGATTCTTATATTATCAGTTCTCTCAAATGTTAATGTTTCTGGACATGTATATAAAAGATATAAATAACATTTTATCATAATCTCAATGTTTGTCAGAAAAATGAAAAAAGTATTGCAATTTTCTGTTTCCCTTAACTTTACTATACTATAAATTATATAATGTTATTAAAATCCATCACTTATCTAAAGTGGTATTTCAAGAGGTACTTTGTAAGAGCTTTCACAGTAACAGTCATTCATAACCATTTAAACCTCACCAGTGAATACCGATGAATAATACTATGGTAACAAGTGCATTTATAGTACTATATAGCCTGACATTTATTGTACATTACGCACGGTGCCAAGCTGGTCATGGCACAGATGGTACGGAGAGAGAGAGAGCGAGAGAGAGAGAGAGAGAGAGAGAGAGAGAGAGAGAGAGAGAGAGAGAAAGAGAGAGAGAAAGAAGACAAGCATGAAGAGGTCCAGTGGCACCTCTCTCTCTGCCCACTCCAAAGCTGCCTATTATCTAATCACCACCACACAGCGTGAGGAGGAAGACATGACCCAAAGAAGCAGACGTCATCATGGCTGGACGCACTGCTGTGAAAAACAAAGCATCGTTGTAACTGGGAGGAACTGTGGTCTCACTCAATCAACACCGAGCATGGAAATGTTATGATAAATATGGATTATATTGGGGGTATTTAGAAAAGATGAACTGCATGGACTGGGTGTTGAGTAAACAGTATGCAAACAGAAAAGGTCTATAAAATGGAGATGTATACTCCAGGCGGCTTTGGAAAGTTTCTTCAAATCCTAAACTGAACAGTATTATTAATGGTAGAAATAGCATGGATTAGAGGTGTCTGTGTAATCCCTCAGTCATTTTGTTTATTAGAGATTGTATTAGAGGTGGCCAATATATGAAATGATCAAAACATTCACAAAAATGATTGAAGATATGCAAACATTAGATTGCAAAAAGTGCTGATGAAAAATAAACATGGAACAAATTTTAGTTTTTTTCTTCTGAAGGGGTACTAAATCGTTTTTCTGCATTTGTTTTCAAACCAGAACAAGCACCACAGGTAAAATCCTGCAGCTAAAATAGTCCTGACCAGGCCTAGTTCAAGATCATGGAGATGGGACTCATAGCACATAGTGGTGTAGTGCTCATTGTTCTTGATGAAGGTCCCAGTGGCACTGAAGGATGGGTCAAATGCAGAGAAAAAGTAATTGCACCTTAACCATTACCTTGTTGATAATTTTACCGTGTTTTCACATTTATCCAACTGAAGCATTTAATATATAATATGAGTATATATGAAATACAATTATATGATTGAATGATGGAAGTAATACTACCATTGTCATTTGATTACCTGACCAGCCAGAACCACACGCTTTGACAAAACTTCACCAAGACAAGTGGATCTGGAGGCATATGCTGTGGCCCTGATTTCAGAGACTGTGATTGACAGGCGGATTAACCAATCAAAGAGACTCTGCATGCTCAGTTCATGTCTAAAGCAAACATTGCTGTTTACACATTACAAAGGAGACCTACATAAAAGACTGAGAAGCAGCACGGATTTTTACAGAATCATCAATCGAAGCACCAAACTATTATTTATATGAGGCAAAAGAAGTTATATATTTTGTTCTGAATGTTACAAGAATTTTGGAGAGATGTCTTCCATGTTTTAAGGACAAGTGCTACAAATTAGCAGCTGTGGTTGGACTGTTTTCAGTTTTCTGTTTTCTGAGATAAAGGGCAAACCCTTCTGGATTAAACAGAATGTAGAAGGGACTGGCTGGTCAGGCAACCGATATGATACTGGTATACAATATTGGCACAGATACTGAAAAAGTCGCTGGATCGGGTATCAGCGCCATGATAACAGTTAAGCTGATAACAGTCCTATTTTCCACCTTACACTGGTATCAGGTTATATCAGGTATCGGAATATATTTAAAGTCAAAGTATCAATACTGGTATTGGATCTGAAAAAGATAGATCGCCCCTACCTATTTCTTTTTCAATTATTTTAGGATTATCTCTATAAACGATAATCAAATTGATTGAATGAATGAATAAGAAATGTTCCTTTAAATGAAGGTGAATGGATTGTGAAATTAACCACAAATGTACAGAAATATCACTTTACACTTACTTTGAAAGAATACATGCACCTTTTGAATGGATATGTATATGTTTACAGTCCTTAGATAATCCCAACAGCAGTCGTCATTCAGGGTGCCATGACAAGAAAACCAGATTTAAATCCAAATTATAAGGTTTGTCTCTCATAAACCTAAAATTACTCCTGCCTGGGAAGTCATTTAGAGTAAAAGGTAAAATGAAATGACACCAATTATACTGTTACATTGCTACATTGAAACCTCCCTCTAGACTGCAACTTGAATGAAAAAAAAAAAAAAAAGTAACAGTAATAACATTAAAATTGTACCAATCTCTACCGCAACGGCTGTGGGGGATTATTTTGGTTAAAGATGCCACAAAACAATCTCCACTGTGCCCCACATCTGTAACTCATTTCCTCAATCTGCCATGTAAGACAAAATCCTTAACAACGCAGGACTACAATAGGACAAAACTACACATTATGTAAGAGGACCAAAATATTGGCACACATTCCTGGACTTCTTTGCTATTCTTTCACTGTCCAGCAAATTACTATTGATTATTGAACACATTTCTAGTGGAGGGTCCACCCCCTGCGTTTGTTATTGCTCTGGCAGAAATGTTTCACAGTATGACATTAAACCTTTTTATCATCATGGAGACCAAACCAGGCCAAGTTCAGATCTGTGGAGAGGCGACCCCGCTCACAGTCAGAATGTCTGTTTTTCAAGGTAATTATTGAGCAATAAAGCCACCTGTAATTGAAGGAATGTAAGGTAGAGCTGGTTAAAGTCATCCATTGAAAAAAAAAGAAGGTAACAGATCCTCAATTGAAAAGATACATAGAAAATACGCTTCAGAGTTAAAGTCCCAACAGGAATAGCAATAAAGATAGCATTGTATTTGGGTCATTGTGGATTTTGGCTGCGGGTGCCAATGGACAGACAGAGAGCGAATGCCAGAGGTCAGCAGTCAACGTAACGTGCGTATACAGTTGCAAAAAGACAACACAAGAAAGGGCTTGGTACCGACGGAGAGAGCATGTGGACAAGAGAAAAGAAAAGCTAAATCTCCTCTGCGTTCCCATGGACAGTCAGATGCGATAACTACCTTCCCAAGAGAATGAGAAAGGTGGCAGCTCGTAAAATGTTTTCCTATGGGAGCAAACAACAGTGCAGAGAGATTTTTTTTCGCCATTTTACGCAAACTACATTCAACGATATATGAATAGTTTAACCACGTAACAAGAAAAGAAGCTACACGTAAACACTTTTTTTTTTGCACAGTAAGTTGACAAGACTGTAAAATCATTGGTAGACATTCCCAACCTGCTCGTTTGGTGGCCGCGCAGCCCACATGTTGCTCGGGTTTTTGCCTGTTCCACTTGCGCAAAAAAAAAAAAAAGTGAGCGGAGATAAGTTAAAAAAAAAAAAAAACAGACTAAAAACAGCCAAAACGTGACAGCGGTGTTTATGCAGCCCTCCCGTCTCCTCTTTACTAAGGCTGAGAAAAATCAACAGTGAACTGTCCCTCAACTCCTCAGACAAGGCGGGACTTGCAAAAACTCTGGACCAATCAGATTTTAGAAACGCCTTCCACAAAAGACGCTAATTGGTCGGAAAATACTTAGACTTTTGCATATGGAGGAGGAGTTCTCTTGGGAAAAATATTGCAGAGTTTATCTTTTATCTCTTCTCTAGTATTCTTTTTTATTTTGTCGCTATATAACACAAACATTAGTAAACATATTAACAAACTGTAGCATTAAAAACACGAAGTTTTCAATCAATAAAAGTCAGCGTGTACCTAATTTTAATTGGAACTTGAAACTGCAGCAAATCCACGTCTCATGTAGAGATCTCCAGCGCCATCTCGTGGGTATATTTACGTACTACACCCCTTTTCCCTTTTGATACAGTGTGTGCGTGTGGTGTTATCATAATAGAGACTTTAACCTGTAATATATCACCACACCTCGGAATGGGACCCAACAAACCGCACGACTAGGATAAACCAATCACAGTAACTCAAATTCCTCAATTATTATTATTATTATTAGTGATTTGGTGGTTGTTATTTGATGGATAGGGTTCTCCATAGAAGCCAATGTTTTATACAATGATGAATGATGATACAGATTTGTTTGATGGTCTAGTTACTATTGATAAGACTTTTTTTTTTGTATGTTTGATTTTCTGAACTCTAACATGAGCCTGTCCAGGGACTACAGGTGGAAATTAGCTTCAACATGGTACAATGCATCTCTCCTGTTAATGTTAATGTATACAGAGCATTGTCACTGTCTCTTTAAATAAATAAATAAACTGAAGTGGCAGCATAGGCTATCTTAACTTTTTACTCCAAATCACTCATGAATGTAACGCATGAATATCTTGAACATTATTAATTGGGTATATTGCATCTTGGCTGTATATGGCTGATACAAAAAATACATTTAACTAAAGATTTCAACTAGAAGAAAATAAAACAAGATTAAAAGAAGCCTGGATGCTTACCAAATGAGAAGAAGGGGTTTCAGTGTGTTCCCAGTGTGTTCCCAGCTGAAATATCTGTCTATCTTTTCCATGTAGTTTCTCTTTATTTATCTTCCCCTCCCTCCGTCTCTTACTCATCATGAAGCCATAAACATAATGGTTTCCGGGGATAGCACCAAAGGCACAAAGTTCAAAAAGATAATGTGATTCTGCCTTAAGGATAATTAGATAGGCCTAACTATATGAAAATTAAGTGCTATTTTCTAATATTGATACTTTAAAAAAAATCACATAAACATGATCAAACTGGGTAGCACCAAAGTTACGCTGTCTGGATCCCAGGCAAGGTTCCTGTGTCAGTTCACTGCCTGTCTACATGGAGATTTATCTTTTTCTTTTTTTTCACTTCTTGCACCTCTCTCTCTGTTGTTCCATCATATGCAATAATCCATATTTTTTTTAGCTAAAAAAAACAAACAAACTTATAAACATGCATTCTTATTGTCAGCATTGTCTCCTCACCACAGACCTGACCTGTAACTATGTGGCGTCTACCTTGTTTCTTAGGAAATGTATGCATTTAATGTCGTACTGTACAAAATTCCAGGCAAAGCAAAAACATTTCCATGGAAACAAGCAGTTGGCAGGCTCTCCACCAGAAAAGTCACACAATGCACCTTTAAAGAAAGCAGGCTATTATTTTGGGTAGAAAATTCTAGACCTGAATCAAAAAAAGTGTTGTTTAATCCCTATGAAATCAAAGTCAGTATCAAGTATTGAGCCTTTTTTTTAGAATATTTATTTCCAGGTGATTGATTTTTATCCCCTTTGTCTCTTTTGTCATATATATCACATAAATTGTTTATATACTATATGTTATATGTTAACATGACAACCACATTTTGGTGTGGTGATTGTGAGCGATCATTTCATTGTTCTGAATTCAATCTTGAAGCCAGTTGCTGTACCAAACTCACTTTTATGAATGAAAATCTTGAAAGAGAGGAAGAATAAAAACACCTAACAATATCAAATATGTCCTTTAGGCGGCGTTGTTACACCAGCCTTATTTAATCTCAGTCAGTTCACCTGTACCGTACTCGCTCCAGGCAGTGCACACTTGAACTCATTAGACAGCCTTCAGAAGAACTACCACAGGGCAGTGGAGTTAACTAATTTATCTCCTTTTATTGAAAACGTTGGTCAGTATGTTGACAATGCGACGCTCTTTCTTTGTTCTCGTTACTTTAGTTAAATTGTCCCGCTTCCGGTACGTTGCGTTTGTATTCACACTGGTGGTTGTTTACCCGTTTGTGTTTGGCTGAGGCGCGCGTGGACAGATGTTATAGATGTCCACTGCAGCATCACTACGGCTCCTCTGACTCACTGCCTCCATACGGACTGTCACTGTCTGAGACGCACGACGCACTACTGGATGTGGATCTATTTGTCTTGAAATATTTTACAAACTGGAAGATCTGGACTTATAAACTTGTTTCTGTCAATTAGATTTTCATTTCAATTATTGTTATCAATTTTGCTTTTAAAGAGTGACATATTTAACAAACAAACTCAAGGCAAAAGGAATCGGAGTTGCCTTTTCCCATAGCTGCTTTTGGTAATGACTTTTACGCACGGCTTTTTGAGGTTTTAGAATGATAGAAGGAGCGTGCCACGCCACTGGGGTAGATGAGCCCCGCTATGGCTGGCGGTGTTTTGCCGAGCCAGGGCCAGGCACGGACATGTGAATAAACAGCAGTATGCCCTCTTGGCCCAACCACACTCAGTGCCTCTCCGTCAGTAACAGCAGCGGGGAGAACTACAACAGCACATGCGACTTTCCTACTCTGAGTTTACACTCCACCCCGCTCCTCACGGCCACCACAGTCGCGTGCTCGCTGCTCTTTCTAGTTGGAGTAGCGGGGAACGTAATGACTATTCTGGTGGTGAGTAAATACAGAGACATGCGGACCACCACCAACTTGTACCTGTGTAGTATGGCGGTGTCGGACCTGGTCATCCTTCTGTGCATGCCTCTGGACTTGTACCGGATGTGGAGGTACAGACCGTGGCGCTTTGGAGACGCGCTTTGTAAACTCTTTAATTTTGTGTCCGAGTTGTGTACATATTCTACTATTCTCAGCATCACCGCTCTCTCCGTGGAGCGCTACTTGGCGATCTGTTTTCCATTACGCGCCAAGGCTCTGGTCACCAAAAAACGTGTGCGCGCGCTGATCCTTGTTCTATGGACCGTTTCTATGATGAGCGCGGGACCCGTGTTTGTTGTGGTGGGGGTAGAACGGGACAACAGGACCGACATGGACCCGGAGGACACGCGCGAGTGTAAAATGACGCAATACGCACTGGATTCGGGGCTGGTGGGCGCAATGATGTGGCTCAGCTCCGCGTTCTTTGTCATGCCCGTGTTCTGCCTCACGGTTCTTTACAGCCTCATTGGCCGAAAACTGTGGCAAAGACACCGGGAGACCTGCATGAGCTCCCGGATCGCGCACAGGGAACGGAGCAACAGGCAGACAATCAAGATGTTGGGTACGTACTTTTACGCACACATTGCGCGCGGCGCGTAAAGCAATTTTTTGGTTCCATTTACATTTATACCATAGTTCTTACCGAAAACTATCCTTCTTCTATCTGAATCTTTCACCAAATAACAGATAACAGTGAAAAGAAGAATGTTAAAAGTCTGTGCATAGAATTCACATTTTGTTTGTCATCTGACTAAAATAAGTAAGGAGACAACAACTTTTTTCATTGAAATTAATCAGATATAATGGGTAAACTTTAAAGCATGTGTTTCTACGGATGAGGGGATTCCTGTTTGTCTGGCCATCCAACTTCTCCAAATAGTGTATAAGATTAAACAAGACTGGATCATGGGCAAGATTCCTATGTCAATGCATTGCCTTTCCATTATTAAGAATGTCTGTATCCCTATTTACACTTCTTTCTTTTTTGTCAACACTCCCTACTCTCCTCACTCATATGTCTCTCACCTCCACTCTTTTTCTCTCTCTATCTTTCTTGCTCACTCTCTCACCATTCTTCTCCATCTCTCTCAACCTCCACTCCTCTAATGTTCTCCCCTCTCCCTCTCTCACTCCCTTACTTACACACACACACTCTCTCCATCTCTCTCACCTCCACTCATTCTCTCCCCTCTCTCTCCACAGTGGTTGTGGTCTTCGCCTTCGTCCTGTGCTGGCTCCCTTTCCACGTTGGCCGGTACCTGCAGTTCCGCTCTCTGAATACCCAGTCCCAGCTCCTGTCCACTCTGTCTGGATACTGCAGCCTGGTGTCTGTGGTCCTCTTTTACCTGAGCGCCGCCATTAACCCCATCCTCTACAACACCATGTCCTGGAAGTATAGAAGGGCGGCCGCTCGACTCTTCGGACTCACGGACAATAACCAGCCTCACAGATGTCGCACGGCCAGCAACTTAAAGGGACAGTGTTCAAACATCTGGAATGAGTCCACGGCTAGCTTTTAAAGGTCCTATATGACACAAAAAGGACTCTTGTGAGCTTTAAGTCATGTTAGAAAGCTGTTACCTCCATAAGAACATACTTGGAGTTGTGTTTTGTTTCATTCACACATGTCTGAGTAATCCTGCATTATCTGTTTACATCTCCAAACCTCAAAATTCCCCATTCTTAGACTTAGATTTTGACAAACTTTATTGACCCACAAGGGAAATTATTTGGACACAATAGATAGTTCCATCTTATGACACCATGTAGAGGTAGTTTTCACTTCAAAAGCTTACCTTCAGTTCAGTTCAGTAGAGAACTCAGCCTAAATGTGCAGTTTTTGTGTGTTAAACATGTGCGAAAGAAACAAAACACAACTCCAGGCATGTTTGTGATGAGGAAACAACATTATAACACAGATCAGAAAATAGCGTAATATGGGCCCTTTAAGCCTGAGGGCTTAAGAATTGACAGAGATCATTTACGTCAAGCAAAAACTATAGCCTCAAGTGCTTCATCAATCAAAATGTGAACGGTACAGAAAATGACACAAAACAAATATGGCCTTATGTTGTTTTTGCAGATTCTGGATGACAAAGTAAGCACTGTAGACAATACATATGCACCGTCTGGCTCCCTTCAGAGAGGAGCAGAGGTGCCGGTGTGAATGGGACTGCGTGAATGAATACCGTATTATGTCTTTTCTTTGTATAATTGAGAATGTGTGACTCTAAATGCCCTGTAACTTGGAGATTCAAGTCCATGCTGTGTCTATGCTGCTCAGAGGAAATGTTAAAATGTCACCTTTTATCTTTACAATTGTTAAAGTTGGGCTGAGTAACTTTTTGGTTGGGGGTTCGTCACCTGCTTGTTTCTATGGAGATGCCATTGCTCTGCCTGGAATGTTCCGTAGTGTGACATTAAACAGCTTTACTTTAGATTTATTCAATTACAGGTGGTTTTATAGCTCAAAAATACATAGAAAAACAAGCATTCTGACTGTGAGCGGGGTCGCCTTTCCACGGATCTGACCTGTAGCTTGGTCTGTTTTGATCTCCATGAAGATAGAAAGATTTAATATCATACTGTGAAACATTCTAGACAAAGCAACAAGATCTTCACAGAGAAAAGCATTAACAGACTCTCCACCAGAAAAGTTACACAATGCCCCTTTAAATTATGTTGTATAATGTTTTTGATTTGTATTTCCATATTGACTTGAATTATCTCTGTTAGTATTTTGACGATGTCTTTATGTTGTCTTGTAATTTGGCCTTCTCAGGTGTGCTCGCATTGATCTGCTTATAAATTAAATAATTTTTTTATATGTAAAATCTGTATTTGTGGTGCACCAAAGACATCACTGTCTAATGTTACGTAATGATTAAACTTGTGTAACCCTTTATTATACTCAAGAGTCCAGAAAAGAAGACAACAGACCCTGTTTCAACATCGAATGACGCACAAAAATATTTAAAGTGGCAAAAACTATGACGCACAATGTAATATGATTGTCCTAAAATGTTCCAGGCTTTTGCTTTATGCTTACATAAACAAATACAAGAGCACTTCTATTGAATTATTACATAACATAATATACATAATATATTTTTCTTGTATTTATTTTTCAAGCCCATCTTTTGTACCACTGATGTAAAATACAATAGATAACAATAGGGAATTTGTATATAATTCAATTTTGGAGAGGTCTATACTATGGACAATTGAAAAAGAACATTGTTTTGCAGTTGTATGTAAAGTTTGTAAACTGTGGGCTGCCTGTTTTCTTGCTTTAAAATGACATATTTGTAATAATGTACACAAGCAGCACAGTATTTTCAACCACGGCCTTGGATTCAGATGAATGTTATCTCTTGTTGTGGCTAAAAAGTAATAAATATTTTTGTCAGTTTATTGTAGTTTCATGTGAATATGTCCTATGTGAATATGTCAGCGTGAACTGTCATTAAAAATGTCTAAACACACTGGTGTCAATAAGTTCAAGTTGTTATTTTTTTGTTTTTTTAATTTAATTTATTTATATCGCTTCAACTTAAAGAGGACATATTATTCTTTTTTCTGATCTATGTTATGATGTTGTTCACTCATCACAAACACACCTAGAGTTGTGTTTTGTTTCATTCACACACATTTAACACGCAAATCCTGTATATTCAGGCTGAGATCTATTCTCAGATTGAAAACACACTGTTCCACCTTGTCATGTCATGTGGTCACAGGAAGTGCTCCGTTTTAAACTCAATACACCTTCACTAGAATCATTTGTATTATTTCTCTAGAGGTGACTGCTGTGTGCCGTTTAGGAAAAGTACTTCTGGACAGCTCTCTTTTGCTTATCGAGCAGGTCAAACATGGAATACAGTGCTGCTCATATATGAGAACTTTCAACATTGGCAGTATTTTCTAAAACTTTAAAACAGTGGTTGGCCAAATATGTCTCCATGTTTAACCAAATAACATGTGTTTTATATTGAGGGTTTGTGAGTTTTACTCTTGGTTTAACTCTTAAACTCTTGACTTTGAACTTCAAATGAACTGTTTGAAACTAATTTGTATGTATAGTGAGTGTACAGTGAGTGTGTTGTATGTATAGTAAGTGTGCTGGTTTTATGTACTTTTCTCTGTCCTATAGATGATTTCACATCAACCTGCTGAGGGACTGAAAATGGAAATTAATCACGCTGGCTATAATCTTTACATATTTACATTTTTAATGTTCATTAATATGTGCTGTCCCTTTACAAATTAATAATAACAAATAAATAAATAAGAAATAAATAAACTATTTCAGCTGTAGAGAAAAAAGGTAAAAACTTGAAAACAAACAAACTCCAGGTATGTTTTTTGATGAGGTAACAACATTGTAACAAGAGTCAATTTTTTGTAATTTAGGATCTTTAACTTTTATCATTCAGCAAGTTTGACTTTGTAAAGCTGGTCACATATTAGAGTATATATAAAACATTGTATAATGTGGGCTCTTTAAAGTCAAAGTAAAAGTAAAATAGTAGTTGGATTGGTGCATCACTATGTACTACTACTGAAATTTTGACATCAAAGAATGCAATAAAAAATACTATGACTGTCCACAAGCACGTCATCACATCCTCTCACCCACAACCCCAGCCATTCATAACTACTATAATAGAGACCTCTTCACTCCGCCTCCACAGGTCACTCCACAGTTGGTCCATTCTTACGCAATAACCATTCTCAACCAAAATAGTGATGTTTTTTCGCCCCTGAAGTTCAGTGGCCTTCATCTCTGCTCTGGTTTGAATAGATAAAAGGGGTGTATTTTTCATTCGAGCTTGACTGGCTACATTTCGTGCATCACAGAGAACATGTAAGGTCAAGTGAGTGATGGTGGACTCGGTGTAGGACCAAGCACAGAGGAAATGAAAAGTCTAGTCTAGCAACCAATCTTCAGGGACATAGACGACAAAGTAGCAAAGATTATTCTGTTCTGTTTCTTATCTGGACAAATAACAACAAATGAAATCCAAATAGTTCAGTGTAGTTATACAAAACTCACCTTCAAAGGGGACATGTTCTGCTATTTTCTGATTTATGTTATAATGTTGTTTCATCATCACAAACAGACCTGGAGATGTGTTTTGTTTCATTCACAAATGTTTAACACACAAACACACACTCTGCATTTGAGTTCTTCTCTCAAACTGAAAACACACTTCAAACTTGTGATGTTATTTGGTAACAAGGAAGTGCTCCACTGTGTTTTTAAACTCCATGCAACTTGTCTAGAATAACTTGGATAATTTCAGCCCTGGAATTCCCAATCTCTGCTGAACTAAAGGTATAAAGTCGCTGTTAAGAACTACTGCTTCATGACATCACAAGGTGGAGCATAGCATTTTGAGCTTTGGGGATGAAGACAGATTAATAATAAAGAGTTTCTCAAACATGTGAATGAAACAAAACACAACTCCAGTTATGTTTAGTTCAGGTAACAACATTATAACATGGCTTAAAGCTCTCACTAGTTAATGTTGCTTTAATATAGGACCTTTAACTGAATGTCAGCCACAACTAATACTAAGTATAAATTCATTATTCTTAATAAATGTAGTAATACCTAAAATAAACGAATAATTTATATTTAAGGCAATAATTTGACTGAATCCCAGGGACAACCTGAACTTCAGTGCATCTGTCTCATCCAGTCTCATTCACTATTGACTCATTAGAAGATCGCTTTGAACAGTCTCTTTGAAAAGATAGAAAAGAAAAAAATATATAAAATGAAATGTCAAGAGTAGCTATTTTTTGATCTATAAAAGCAATATCATTCATAGCAGTGAAAAAACACAGACACCTTTGCAGTAAAGCATATGAAAGAGAGCAGGTTTATACAGAGACTGGGCGCTGGGACTTTTGTTGTTAGACTTGTTTTGCTGGGTTTTATTTGAGCAGAAATGAAGTTAAAATCTATGAACTATTCACCTTGAAATTATTTGGATAAAATATATTCACAAGGTATCTGTAACTTGGTCTGGTGCTGCCTCCAGCTTGTCACCATGGAGATGGATAGGTTTAATCACTGGGTTTCAGAAGACATCACAGCATTAGAACAATAATATTTAATAAAGATTTGGAAAGTTAAAATGAATATTGTTCAAATACAGATTTTTGTTGTAATACAAGTCACCATAGAAATTATATATTCAACATTTGTGAATTTACCTTTTGAATATTTCATAGCAAAGTACAATGGAATCACCTCATCTGGAAGTATGACATCATCACATCCTTTAATCTGAAAACCACCAGTATTTTACTTTGGAGCATCCCAAGCATGCCAAATAACATCTCCACAGTGACAAGCAAGTGGCAAACCTTCCACCTGAAAAGTTCCATGATGCACCTTTAAATAAACTGTGTGGTGTGAGACAGCGAAGTTTAATGGGACACAATAAAGACAAAGTCAAAAGTCAGAAAAAATTAAAACATTTATTGGGCATAAATATATTATATATACGCTACCGATACAGTTATGTCTTACATACATAGGGTAGTATTTGCAAAAATCTATACATTAAAATTGATATGGCAGTTTCTTTTATATAATGAATATGAAATTGTATAACATTTACAATACAAGAAATGCATGACTTTCTTTTTTTCAATTCGTAGACCATGACAACATTGGAATGTTTGTTTTTTTACTTGTGAGGTAAAAATATTGTTTTTTGTCTCGCTTAAAAAATAGTTAAATACCTGTGAGTTGTCTGTACGTTTGTCAAATCGCTAATCTCTCCATCAAAATCTCGACTCAAACTGCAAAACGTACAAAAATAACAAAAGAAAATGTATCAGAAGGCACCGATGTGGGGTTGCTGGGCATAAACTAAAGAAAAACCATTCTTTACCCACCAAATGTGCAGGACCTGTGGGTGGGGCTTAGTAAAAAAAAAAGTAGGCGGGGTCTTAAAATCAACAGCATTTGAAAATAAAAAATAAACATAAGAGTACCCTGCCCACAACCACCAGCCTTGGACTTGTTGACATTACTACTGTCTTAATAAGGCTTATCATGGGATCAGGAGGAACATAAAAAATTTAAATAAAAAACGGGGGCGAAAAAGGCACCTGTACTTCTAGTGTTGACCCTTTAAGAGGCACTCTTTGTAGAAGCACAGGCCCATATTCTGGTAATGCCAAAATCACAGTGACGCCAACCACACCATACTGTATAATGCCGATGAAAGTAACCGAGGGGCTAGCAGTATAGTGTTCAGGAAATCTAGTATCCACCTCAACAGTTCCAAAAAGTGCTTAATTTCTTGTTAGTCATCACTACAGCTCTAAAGATACATCAGTATCATCTCATAGCAAAATAATGGATAGAAAATACTCACTACTGCTATACCAGCGAAGGCCTGTAGGGGGAGTCGTCAGTTCTGTACTACTTCCTGTCATATTGTCATCCACTGATTGCCTTTGTCACCATTGCATTCTCCTACAATAGGGGCTACACATTTATTTATAAAAAATGGCACATTTTTTGCTTTACAAATAATAAAAGATAATATAAAGAAGCATATCACAGATCAAGTTAATGTTTTTTTTGTCCTTTTGAAAGAATATAATAATCGTAAATGCGGTGTTGTTACAGATAACATCACATAATAACCCTTTAGTGGACAAAAAGCCTGCACTTAGAACAGTTAAAAAGATATCCGAAGCTTCATGAAAATACTAATCCAAAAGCCAAAGGCAGCAGCGTCATCCCACTAAAAGTTGCTACATGTATTATTTTATCTCTAAGCAATAAAAGCGATTTCGGCTGTGCGTGGCCCGAAATCGCGGTAACACAAAAATACATATTATGCGTTTGGTTACATGATTTTGTTTAAAAAGTTTGATGGTAACTGCAATGCATGGACTGGTGAGCTACAGAAATACTTAAAGGGTTACTGAGATAAGGAATGCTGGCCTTTATCAAAATCTAACATACATCCATAAAAAAATTAAAAGAAAAAAAAAACATGCTACAAGAAAAAATTAGTACATAACTACATTGTCTCTTAATCTTTTAACAATAAATAAATGAAGATTGCACTGTTATTGGCATGTAAAGTACGGTATGCAATATATAGTATAAATAAGATAAGAACTCTACCTTGACTTTCCCATTGACTTTGGCAAAGGTATATTTTTTATGAGCAAGTAAACCATTTTGCAGACTGGAGCAAGGCACAGCGAAGATAGAGCGAATGAGAAGAAAGAAGGATGAAAAAAAAAAAAAAGAGTAGAAAATGATGTTTATGGTATTAAAGGGGAAACTAGTCACCCTCTCATAAATGGTCTATTCCCTGAGGTACAAGACAGGCTGCCAATCAAAACAAAAGGGGCGGGACTTAGCGCACCTCCCTATGTTTTCCTTCCACCTGATTCGTATATGTAGGGATCTTTGGGTCATCGTAGAGTATTTTGTTGGGGCTGTACCTTGGCTGTGATGTACACTATACATAGAAGGGTTTGAAGGTTGAATGCCCTGTTCTTTTAATTTGTTTAGTTCAAGAGCATAGGAGAGATGTAGCTATTCTGCTGTCGATAAAGCACCATTTAAAAGATACAGGAGTAGAAAGGATGTAGAAAAACTGCAAGCGAAATAGCATTATAGATAAGCAATGGGAAGAGTCCTTAGTTGTATACTGTCAAAGCTGTTTGGGGTGCGAGCTCACGAGTAGGCAAAATGGCTGGTAACAGTATGGTCTGTATAAATGAGGCAATAATGCAAAAATGACCTTGTTTACGTTTAAATATAGACCCTTTAAAATGCTACTATCGAACATCACAACGTTCGATGTTTCAAAATGGAGGTGACAGGAGGTAAAAGTGTAGTAGTGCTGTACTCATTCAAAACTTAAAGGTGCACTGTATAAATTTTGTGGTGAAGCCAGCTTGTCACCACTGAAATGTTCTTGCTTTGCCTGGTATGTTCCACAGTATGACATTAAACATATCTATTGCCACGGTAACAGGTCAAGTTATAAGTCAGATCTGTGGAGATGTTACCCCGTTTACAGTATGAATGCATGTTTTTTTGTTTAACTTACGTGACATAAAAACATGTGATTGTAATCAAGTCTAATATTATACTATGGAACATTCAAGGCGAAGCAATATCATCTCCACGGAGACGAGCAACCAAGCTTTAATCAATCTAAATGTTGGTTATTTTAAAACACCACTACGTAACTTATCTGATATTTGTCTCATCACTTTTGAGTCTAACATAAAAGTAAGTGATCAGTGATTAGTGTGTAAAATAATCACACATTAAATACACACACAAATGTAATATATATATATATATATATATATATATATATATATATATATATATATATATATATATATATATATATATATATATATATATATATATATATATATATATATATATGTAGAGAGGTAACTGTTTTCTTACTATGCTCTGACGTTACTTAGTGTTTTTTATTAGCCAAAACTATTTTGAGGTTTCACATTTTATAATATTATATTCCACTAAACAATAAACAATAATACATGAGTCACTGTTTTCTTACTAGATTCTAATGTAACTTATTGCTTATTTTTTAATTATCCCAATTTCTCGATTGAAATCACATTACATTAGACTTCACTTTTGCTCCGGTTGCCTCCATTCCATTATTTCAAATGCATTTTTGAATAGAAACTTTTAAAGGGTCTAATCAAACTCCCAATAGTTTAGAAATCCATCAGATCCTAGACCAGATTTGCTTTTTGTTCTGTACGTGAGCACCTAGCATTCCCCCATTTGCACTGTACTTTTAGACCTTACATCGCCATCTCTTTATATACATCACTTCTATAGCTCATAGATATTTGCTATATTAATATATTGTGTATATATCTATATATTAGATTACTGGTTTTCCATTTTATAGATATAATAAAAATCACAGGATAGCAGCATCATACACCACACATGAATTTGCATCACTTTGGTAGCTGAACATTTGTGTTACATAGAGATTTGATGATTGACTTCAAAAGTATGTGTTTCGTCATTGTCATTGCATGAAATGTAAAGTGTCCACTATCAGTCGCTGGTTGTAGTTTGTGTGTGTGTCTGAGAGCCTGTTGTGTCAAAATGAACAATATCGAAAATATCTAAAGCTCTCCGAAAAAAGACCTAACATGGAATATGGCTGACTGGATAAAGACTGCAGCAAATTAAACATAAAAAAATGTAAGGCAAAGAAGTCTGAAACAAAAATATACATGTCTCTAATAGAATATGTAAAAAGGTAAAACATAAAAACATGCAAGTCAGTCTGAGGAGCTTCTGCGTCGCTCACAGCTAGTTTTAAGGCTTGATTATCAGATTCCAAACCGAGGTCCAGCTAAGAAAATGGCTTCCCTCGATAGAAATCAATAAAACAAAGACAACAGAGAAAGTATGACCAAGTGGGAGCAGAGACAGTAACAAGGCAAAGAAAGCCTGAATCGGTACATTGTCTAAAAAAAAAAAAGTACATAACCTTAGAAGTACATCAAGTGTTTTGATTTCATTCGGTTCATTCATAAAAAAGTTTGTGATTTTGCGTTCTCTTTCTATCCTATAGTTTAAAAATAATTCCCTCACTTCATGAAGAAGTATTGTAGCAGGCAGGCGATGAGGATGGAGAAGCCCGCAAACACGCACACGATTAGCGCCGCAAAACGCTCGTCGCTGGAGATAAGCCCCGCCCCTTTGCCCGTCTCCGCGGGACACAGCTCTCCCGTTGTGGGGGTGTCCTGGCGGCGTAGGGTGAACAGGGAGGAGGGGCTTAGGGGGCCGCTCAGCTCCTGGGACGTATCCTGGCAACGACGGCATGCGCCCACCCGGAAACGGTAGTCTGTGTTGCCCTGGAGACCGGAGATCTGGAACGAGCCTTCTTCTCCCTTGAACACCTGCACAGGAGAAAGAAGAAGAAGATAAAAATGTGGGCTGCACAATAGATCGTAATCAATTCTGAATCATATTTTGAGTTGAAACAGTTATCAAATCACAGAGACTTCAGTTATTCAGACAAAAGATCATTGTTCTTTGAGCGAGTCATCTGCAAAAACAAAGTATAAGAAAAAAAAACTTTGTTGTACCTGTAGTTTAAAGAGCTTATATTATGCAACTGACTCATGTTTGCTTTTAGCTTTTGAGAATGCTGTTACCTCCGCAAAAACTTACCCAGAGTTGTGTTTTTTCTTATTCACACATGTTTGAATAACTTTTTATTATTAGTCTTTCTACATGTCCATCTTAAAATGCCCTGTTCCACCTCGTGATGTCAGTTCTATTTAACATTTACTCAATTACAAATGGTTTTCTAGCTCAAAAATAGCTAGAAAAACAGCCATTCTGACTGAGCAGGATTGCCTCTCCACAGATCTGACCTGCAACTTGGTCTGGTTTGGTTTCCATGAAGATAGAAAGGTTTAATGTCATACTGTGAAAAATTCCAGACAAAGCAACAACATCTCCATGGAGAAGAGTATTTGAAGGACCCTCCACCAGAAAATTTACACAATGTAGAAACTCAAGCAAAATGTAGGACCAATTAGCTAAACCTGGTTCTTACTGAGGATAATAATTTGGATCTCATTTGGAAATAATTTTCAAATGTTGTCAGCTGGTGTTTGTTCACTTATTTTAAATTACTTTTTAACCCTATGACTTTTGAAAGAACAGAAAAACTTTAAATAATTTTTAAAAACATGTCAGTTCTTTATATCAACACAAGTACACCACTTCTTTCAGGGAACAACATACATTTGTCTTATGAAAATGAGCTCTGTGCAGAAAGTTCAATTGTGTTTTTATGTAGTTTGGTTAAAAAAGCACAAATATGTTTTGGTTTTTTTTAAGTAAATTACACATCTCCATTATTTACTACAACATTTCTGGTTCTGCCGATGGAAAACATAATGGAGAGATTTTCGGGTCAGGCTACTTTCATGACTAAATACCACAGTGTGGAACTCATTTTATCTGCAACAAAATAAATAAAGTTGAAAATTCAGGTTTCTAATTTCTGTACAGTTAAAAGTATACTATGTAAGTTTTCTGGTGGATTGTTTGGCACCTGCTTGTCCCCATGGAGATGTTTTTCCTGTGATGTTTCCCAGTACGGCATTAACTTTATCTCTCCACTTTCCACTCCACTAAACTAGACAATTTACAAGTCAGATCTGTTGAAAAGCGATACTACTCATGATAAGAAAGCATGTTTTTCAAGGCACTTTCTTCCAACATTTTGATTTTGAAACAGACTAATAATGCAGTATTACTCAAACATTTGTGAATGAAAAAAACACAACTTGTATTTTTGATGACATTATACCATGGCTTAATGCACACAATAGTCAAGTTTGTGTAATATAGGACCATACAGCAGAACTTTCCAAGCAAAACAATAACACCTCCTTGAAGTCAAGCGAGTGCAGGACCCCAAACAGAAAAGTTACATAATGTACCTTTAGAGAAGCACAAGGTCAGTCTATTTATTCACTTCAGCATTTAAAGGTGTTGACTTCTGAGTGCTCTTTTCTATCAAGGCTAACTGAGCTGCTGTGCGCTTCGGGGGAAATCACAATTTTTTTCCCAGAGTCTAAAATGAGTCCTATGATTGTGGTTTGAGCAGATAACAACAACAGCTCTCAGTCTTGTCCTCGAATGAACCCCAGAAAGACGATGAAGGATGTAGCAAGAGTGGGAATTAAAGAGCCCATATTATGCTATTTTCTGATCTGTGTTATCATGTTGTTTCCTCATCAAAAAAGATTTTTGGAGTTATTGTTTTGGTTCATGCACACAACACACAAACTCTGCCTATTTAAGATGATTTTTTTTTTTCTCGTCAAAAATCACTCCATAAGCCTTCTGTAGACTCATTTGCATGATTTTAGCCCTGGAACTGCCAATCTCTACTGAACTCAAGGTAAAAGGTAGCACTTAACTTGAAAACTACCACCTACCACCTATTTGTCACCAGGGAGATGTTGTTACTTTGCGCTAAAAATTTGTTTCAACTTTGTATCACCATGGAGTCGCACGGAAATGTTAGGCAGAGCTGCTTTCATACTTTTAGGTTATGCTACAATTAAAAATGATTCTGATAAACTGTATTACTCCTTTTACAGCTAATCTATTGTAAGGTTAAGATTTAGTAAGTATTGTCTGGAAAACGTAGAGATTTCTCTTCTTTTTGCTTGTTTTCATAAATTTTTTGTATGTTTAACATGTTTATTTATTATTTATTATTATTATTACTATTATTATTATTATTTTTCCACAGTAGCCAACGACATAAAATGACTCAACCTTTTCAATCTGTATGTTTTCAAATAATTATTACCTTAAAGGACAGTTATCAAGTTCTAGACTGAAAGCTCTCAGTAGCCTTAGTGTATCGTTTGTATTGACACAAAGCACAATTCCACCAAATTGTTGTGTAGAGACTCTAATGACAGTAAGTAGGTTATATTTTTATATATTCAAAATAAACCAAAAAGAAAATGCACAAATTCTCACACAGAGAATAATTTTTGTCAAGATATTGGCTCCACAAAATTGCTCTAACAATCTTGTGTCTTGAAGCCTTTTCTACTGACAAGAATAACAACTGTGATTGAATAATAACACTACTTTAGGCATAAATTGGTCAGATAGGGAAAAAAATCCACTACTCCAGTTTTGCTGATGGAGAAGACCTTTTTGCCAGTAGGGATAGTGGAATAAAAGACAGCAGTTACAGAGATCTTAAAGGTGCACTGTGTAATTTCAGTTGGGGGTCCGTCACCTTCTTGTTTCTACGGATATGTCATTGCTCTGCTTAGAATGTTCCACAGTGTGACATTAAACAGATTTACCTCACATTTATTGAATTACAGGTGGTTTTATAGCTCAAAGATACCTACAAAACAGACATTCTGACTGTGAATGTGGACGCCTCTCCAAGATCTGACCTGTAACTTGGTCTGGTTTGGTCTCCATGAAGACAGAAACATTTAATGCTGATGATTTCCAAACAGTAAGTAAAATTTTAAACATAAAAAAGATGGCCAAAATTTTAAATCTAATGATCTTAACTGTATTTTGGTAAAATGAGTAGGCCAACCTGTCACAGGCACAGTAAATGTGCACTGTGTAACTTTTCTGGTGGAGGATTGCCACTTGCTTGTTTCCATGGAGATGTTAACCCTCTTATGGCATTACACGTATCCATCTTGCTTTTATTTAATAACATGTTTTTATTTTTTATTGACCTAAACACTTACATTCTTGACATGTAACTTGGCGTGATGTCACCTAATGTTCTGTAGAGATAAATAAATGTAATACCATACTGTGGAACATTCCGTGCAATATCTCCACAGAAAGAAGCAGGTTTCCCACCCTCCACCAGAAAAGTTACACAGTGCACCTTTAACTCTAAACCAGGTTAAAAAAAATATTGGCCCTGAGCTCAGTTTTATATCACGAGCAGCCTTGGAAGCATACCTGTTTATACTCGGACTCTCGGCCCACCAGCACCTGCAGCACGTAGCTCACAGGATCTCCTCTCATTGGTGGAATAGTCTCCCATGTGACCTCACACGTGTTGCCCTCCAACTGGTGCACTTTGGGTGCTATGGAAGCAAACAATTAAAAACATTATTAAACATGATTATTATAACGTGGATGGGGTTAAGAGAAAGGAGAAGATTAAGAATGTACAATTTAAATGAAGGACTGGCTTGTATATGTAAATGGATATAGCAAACACACTAGCCGGTGCATTCCAAATAGGAAGTGAGCATGGGCGCGCTTCTGGCTCCATCAACTCTACTGAAAAAACATCGCACCTCTCTCTGTAAATGCTGATGTGAGCCTTGTCATTTTAAAATGTTCGTATTAACCCACCCTACATGATTCTAGTGTTTTTATTTTGCAATTTTGTTCATGAATAAATTCATTCAAAACTCATACTTGCCTCCAAATTTGCCCCATAATTGCTAACCTCTCTGTGCTTCATTTGACTGAAGTCGAACACTATGAGTGAAATAACTTGTTAAGATTTATTTGTTAATTATGAATAAAGTTTTTCTGCATGCTTTATTGAGGCTGTTAGTGTAGTTATTACTGTCTGGCAAGTCCAGAATGATACTGTAATCTTCGTAAGATGTCATTAACATTCCCTGGGGGTGTGATACTAACCTGAGGTACTACTCAATCTGATGGTCTGTTATTGATCAATCTGATCTTTATTTTAACACAATGTGACCAGAGAGAACTGAATTAGTGGGAACTACAACAGGTGAGCTGACTCGTTTTCAGTCAGTCACTCTCACTTTTCGTTGAAAATCACCTAAACACCTAAGTAGGACCATGAACACTTGTATTGTTGACAGACTCCTGAAAAACGTGATGTTTAAAACCATTTTGTATTATTTCTTGCGTTTTTTCATACAATCTAAAACTTTTTTCCAGTGTTTGCTAATGTGTGCATTATGTCTCCAAGTTAATTACACTTAAAGCAACCCCAGCACTGCAAAGTATCATTATAGAAAGTGTTTTTTACCCTAATTATAATTTAAACATAAACTGACAACTACCACCTCATTGACATTATTTTTATGCAGTATACGCTTACGTTATGATTATTGTTCTATGTTTGGAAACCTGCATACATTTACATCTACCATCTACCATAGTATTTTTTTTTACTAGCACTACCTCCACCTCTAATAAATAGCCTACAATTTCATTCAATACACATCACGTTCCCCGGCAGCTGTCACAAATACTCTGTACATAACGCAATGAGGGTCGAATCATTTCATAGCAAAGCCAACGGCAAAATTACTATCTATAATTTTGTTTTGCTATTTACATAATTGTCCGCCTAAGCACTTCTCCTTTGGGACTCGTGTCACTCTGCACCTGCAAACATTAGTAATTATGGCCCGAGCTAAAAACATTTGACTAAAAAGTAGAAGGAGAAATGAAAGCCGCTGATTGGATGAGAGGGTTTCAATTAGAGTAACTGGTTTAGAAAAGTCAGGAAGACCCTCGACTATTTAAATTTGTTTATACTGCTTCAATGATACTCCTGCATCTTTTTACCTCACAGCTAAACCAATATTGTTCTCAGGTTATTTCTCAGTCTTTTATTGCCGGAAGGAATAAGAGGCTTACTGGCAATAACAACATAACCCATAACACTTTATATTGTATTTTCAGACATCAGGATCATTTGGACAATGCAATAAAATCAAATAAGACAGATTTGCAAATATATTAAAAAAAATTGGTAACACTTTATTTCAGGGTGCATCTAACTGGCTGCTAATTTGCATAAGTGTCAATTTGATTAGTGTTTATTTGACTCTTAATAATTTCTTATTCTTTGATGTCTGATGTTAGAACACTGAGAAACACTTCATAATAATTACATTTAATTAGCTTTAAAGGTGCATTGTGTAACTTTTGGAGTGGAGAGTTCATCAAATGCTGTTCTCTGTGGATATGTTATCGTTTCGCCTGGAATGTTTCACAGTATGGCATTAAACCTTTCTATCTTCATGGAGATCACACTAGACAAGCTGTTTAACGCCATAGTGTGGAACATTCCAGGCAGAGCAATGACATGTCCATAGAAACAAGCACATGATGGACCTACAGCCAAAAAGTTACATAGTGCACCTTTAATAAAACATAGACTTAAACAAATAGTTTACGAAGAATGATTCAGGCTGAGTAACTAGCCTGTAACTAGTAACGAAGGATCTGGGTTAGGATTTAGTGTTATGGTTTTAATTAAGCAGTTACTAAATCAGAATTAAGTATTTGTTCACACTTTAAGGCAGGTGTGTCAAACTCAAATACTAAATATTTATTGAAAATTTTCAATAACAGCTGCACGTTTTCTCATTTTTCAAGATGTTAAACCTTTTCTTATTAAAATAAATGTTTAATAAAAGTTTTGCTTAAACATTGAATCAAGAACAAGCAAAATATAAAATAATAACATAATTTTAAATAAATAATGTCTCTACAGCTGATCTGTGTAGTTATTATAAAGTGTTGCTGAACAATTTTAAACATTCTTAAGGGCAAGTACCACAAGTTGCAAAAACTGTTGTTATGTCCTTAGGCAAGACCCACATTGCCTAGTATGAATATGGTGTGTGTGTGTAATAAATGGTAAATGGTCATTTTTATACAGCACATTTCCACCTTCTAGGCACTCAAAGAGCTTTCCATCACACTTTAAACCAGTGTGCGCAGACACTAGGGGCGAGGTGGGTTAAGGACACAAGGACAGCATTTATCTGCGGAAGCCAACCTGAGGGTCAGAACTTGCTCTGGTTGGTATTATAATTTCTGTCAGTATTTTAGTATTTTACCACCACTGAGTATTATTATAATTTATAAGGAGTTTATTAATAGGAACGTGTTTAGCTGCAGAATAGGTTTATGTGGTATAAGAAATTAAAAAGGGCCAAATAAATACTAATAACTTTGAATTAATGTACGCAAATTAGCAGTCCATAGCAGTCCTCAGGATCCAAGCGGCTTCTTGAGTACTGGTCAGATTGCTAGTGGACACTGCCTTATATCTGCCTGAAGGGAGGAGCTAACTACACTGAAACTACTCTAAAACTAACCAATCTACTTGTTTATACTTCCTGTTTGTTAGTTAGGTTTATTGAACTACACTAAAGGTGAACTGTGCCTGAGTCAGATTTTGCATAATCGTCGCTCATAATGGCTATCGCAGTTGTTTTCCCTGTTTTGATTTAGGTCTGAGGATGGAGTTACAAATAGGAGATAAATGATGTCAAGCCCCTCATTTCTGTTCAAAGATGGATTGTCCTTCCTAACAAAAATTGCCTCTTTAACTCCCCTCTCAAACCATTTCTTTTCTTTGGCTAAGATCTGCACTTCATTACCTTCAAAGGAGTGTTTAGTGGATGTCAGATGGAGAAATTGAATTGAATTTTTCTTCCGCTGTTTATCATACCCGGACGAATGAGGGATTGCACAAACAAGCCCCAAGCTATGCTAAAATAAAGAGTTGTGTGTGTGTGTTTTGCCCATGGCTGTGGTACCTTTGAGGGCGGGGGGCACAGACTTGGTGGTACAGAAAGTATGCGTCTCAGAGAAGGGACCCTCCCCGGCGTCGCTCACGGCCTGTATTCTGAAGCTGTAGGAGCTGGATTCAGTCAGTCTCTGCACCTTGTACGTGTGACTGGGCCCACGGTAGATCGTCACGAACCTGAGAGAAGAAAATCAAAATAGATTTTATTTATTATCTAGTTCAGATTTCCCAGTATGAGTCAGCTAATGTTACACTGAGCACTCACTAAGACTTACAAGTGTGAACACAGACAAAGTTTGATCCATAAATTGTACTTTTCCATCTTCCTTCTTAACAGAGAAGTCAAAAGTGCACTATGTAACTTTTTGGTTGGAGGCCCTTTAAACAACCCTACTTTATATTTATTAAACTACAGGTGGATTTATTGTATTTTTGCGCTATAAATCCAATTTAATAAATGTAAAGTAGAAAAACATTCTGACTGTAAGCGGGGTCGCCTCTCCACAGATCTGACCTGTATCTTGGTCTGGTCATCACCATGAAGATAGAAAGGTTTAATGCCATACTGTGAAACATTCCAGACAAAGCAATAACATCTCCATGGAGAAAAGCTTTTGACCAGAGAATTTACACAATGCACCTTTAACTATAATATGTGTACCTTCAAAAATTTCAAAGTGGTTGTTTATTTTTTGTTATAATGTAAAACCATTAGCATTTCGATCTTTTATGATAAAAAAAGTATTATGTCTGCTTCTTTTTGCCTCTAGTTGCCTGCATTCCAGAATTTATTGAAAATCTTTTGATCTAGTATTTTAAAAAGGTCAATAGGGCAGGGCAATATGACAAAATATTTCTTAATTATTTTTTCTCATTTTGATTGATCACAAAACAACTAAACAAATAAAAATGTCTTTCAAAATATAGTTGTTGGTCATAAAGAACTTGAGAGACTTGTAATCACTGCCATGAGTAAATCAGGTGACAGTTTTATTGATTGATCAGAACATAAAATGGATGGCGCATGACGCTGGCTGTAAATTTGTCAAACGCCACTGTAAGAAGCCATTCATTTTGATCTGAGGACATATGAACGCAGTGGAGACACAATAAGTCAGTGAATAAGCATCTCTACGCTATAGCCCTATTTATTCTTTTGGCACCTGGAGTCTACGGGAGCAGAGAAAGGCCAAAAAAGAGGTGAGTAACGAGGAGAGGAGGAGGATAGTGACTGGTAATTACAAAAGAGGAGGCTAAGATAAGATGGAGGATGTAATGGGGAGAAAGGAGATAGAAAAGGTTTAGAGCAGGGCCATAACTCCACAGAGTTCTCTATGCTGTGGTACTACAGAGCACTAATGAGATTCTGGATGACGGACGGCCAGTAGTTAACTCACTACAACACACACAATGTAAATGCTCTGTGCAATCTAGGGCTGTAGGTAATCGACTAATCGGTTGATGGTGTCTTTGTTGACCGCATTTTATTTAGATTATAAAGATTTATATGAGACAACAGCAGAAACGGGAATGTAATGAGTGAATTCTCTGAAGATTAAAGGTTCGATATTACGTGTGAACTTTAAGCCATGTTCTAACGCTGTTACATCCTCAAAAACATATCTGGAGTTGCGATTTGTTTCATTCATTCATTTCATGTTTGAGTGATCTTTTATTATTAGTCTATCTACAGCTCCAAAGCATCTCAGACATCTCTGCTCCACCTTGTAATGTTATGATGCGGTAGTTTTCACGTTAACATGTACCTGTAGTTCAGTAGACATTGGCAATTCCAGGTCTGAAATGATCCAAATGACATAAGAGATGCATAATAGTTTGGGGAATTTTGCCATGCCTCCTTTTATTCAACCAGTCGATCGGCAGGACATGTCTTTAGTTGACCAAGAATTCTTTTGCCGGCTACAGCCCCAGTGTAATCCATCACTTATTTTTCAGTAATAAATTTGTAATGAATAAATAGTGAAACTCAAATTGGCTGAACTAAATGTCAAAACAATTACATACACTCTCCAAAAGCGCTGGTCAGAAAACAAATGGACTGGCAAATGAGCAAAACAAAGTTAATGTGAAGCGAAATCTTGGTTCAAATCCAAAAGTTTATCCAGTTATTTATAAAAGTGAACAGGGGCATGACGGGAGCAACCTTGTGTCTTTTAGTCTTTTTCTAGAATGTAAACAGGTTGAAATGTTGAAGTCAGCGTAAATTAAATGCTTTGTTATTAAAATGATATATTACACTTTATATAATAAATGAGGCACATTAGGGCAGAGCACTGGTGATACAAATGTAATTGTGATGTGATCCTTGTGGTCTACTATTTTGGAGAAATTGTTATATCAGGATTTGAAGGATTTGAAGGGACCATGCTGTAGTTTCGCATTTTTTGGTCTTTCCCAGAATGTAAACAAGTTGAATTGTTGAAATCAGGGTTAATTGGTTGTTATTTAAAAGATTGGCAATGTGTATTTACAATTCTCTAAAGTAATCAAATAATGAAATGCATGTTTATACTAATTTAAAAAATAAATTCAGTTTGGAATTACTGTTGCACAATAGTTGAATATTTATGCCTGTTTTACTTGGATTTTCCACTTGGTATTGTTCAGTATGTTTTGATGATTGTAGTGTTATCAAAAGTAGGACAGGTCAGGTAGCAGTACAGGTAGTCTTAGTCTTAGTTTAGCTGCATCAAATTTAGTATAAGACAACATGGTAATTATAATTTTGTGTTAAAAATTACTTTTCTATTGTCTAAAAAAAGACTATTTTTATTAACAGTGAAAATTGGTATAAAGTAATGAAGCAATTCCTTAGTATTGAAATCAGAGTTTTAAAATTTAAGATAATAACAGTAGTTGGTTGTGACAGTCCTTATAAAACATATTTCTGTGCAGTCTTTTTTACTAGGCAAACAATATTGTACATGGGGCTGAATTCATGCATTTATATTTCCATAATGTAATTTCCTTTTTGAGACAATAAAGTTAACCTTACCCAAGATTTATAGAGGTACACAGAAAATGAAGGATTTATAGTTACTAGAATATGAAAATTGGAATATTCCCATTAAGAACTGTATTCTAATTGCATTGAATTGTATTGACATGAAAACAAATATTATATAGTTTTTTTTTTTTTAACCAGATTGTTAGGTTACTGTGGGAAAGGTTAGGGATGGACCAATGTTGCTGTAAGGATATATATACACACACAAAACCAGTAATGTCATGAATTATTACAGGATAGGGCATGAATAAACATATTAAATTAAGTATAGGATGGCAGCAACAGGCAATAATGCATGTTTATAATGCATGAATTGTAGTCCACTGGAGTCAATTTAAAAGGATGACAACATTAATTAAGATATTCTATTTGTAGTCTATTGTGTCTAAAGCCCCAGTACTGTTGTCATGGCACCTAAGCATTCACAGTTTCTCTGAAGCAGGGAATTATGGGCAGTACAGAGGTAGTGACCATGAAAATGAATAAAATAATTACTTCAAATGAGTAGCTTTTAAAGGGCAAAGAGAAACAGAAGATGAAATGTACAAACTGAGCAACAAGTCTGCATATGGAGATAAAAACTAGGACATTTTGGTGAATTTTGAAAAGGGACATAGGTTAGGATGTAAGACAACTAAATATTATGAAAAATTTGACTTGAATCTATGATGATTAAAGGTGAGGAAACAACATTAAAATATAGATCAGAAAACAGCAAAATATGGGCCCTTTAAGAACAAAAAAAACTTAGGAATTTATGTCAGGAGCTTATCTAAAGGTAAATTTGTAAATCTGAAAAGATTGGAAAGGGGCATTACAGTGGGAGTGCACAAATAGGCCAAATTACATAGGGGATTTCTTGATTTACAAAAACCGCGTCTGTTTCCATGGCAATGCAATGCAAACAGTCTATATAGTCCATTATAGTATAACTCAGATCCTTTACAAGCTGTGTGTGACAGTTACTGAACCAAGAAAAATAACCAATATATACAGTAGGTAAAAGGATTTCCCATTATCATATCTGAAGGTTAAGCCAGAGACTAAGAAGGTTCTAGGTTTGATTCCTGGACTTCTGGCTTTTCTTTGTGGAGTTTGCATGTTCTTCTTCTACAACATGTAAATAAAGTTTGCCCCATTCTGACGATGCGACATCCAACACTCCAACTGATCTATTATTATTATTTTTATTTATTTTTTATTTATTTTTTGGCTTTACTTAGGCTGTATCTTATGTTTTTTTTTTTTTTTTTTAAAGCTTAAAGATGCATTTTGTAACTTATCTGATGGAGAGTTTGTCAAATGCTTTTCTTCTTGGAGATGTTTTTGCTTTGTCTGCAATGTTTCACAGTATGCTTTAAACCAATCTATCTTCAAGAAGACCAAACCAGACCAAGTAACAGGTCAGATCTGCGGAGAGGCAACCCCCCCTCAGTCAGAATGTCTGTATTTTAAAGTCTATAAAACCACCGGTAATGTAAAAAATTTAATGTAGAGCTGTATAATGTCATTAACATTTCAGGCAGAGCAATGACATATCCATAGAAATAAGCAGGTGATGGACCCCAACCAAAAAGTTACACAATGCACCTTTAACCTTGTTTTTTTAAATGCTGTAAATGAGCAACAACATAAAATTGTAATCTAATCTTATTTTTTGGGTAATTTTGCAGTGTGAAATACACAATGAGACACTATCTATATTTAAATCTATATCTAGATCAAAACAGCTTCTTGGTATCACATTTTGAACTGACGTCAAACTATCAGCTTTAGAATCTACTGGACTTTGATAAATTTTTCTGTCTGCAAAAGCAATAAGGATAATTGATGCATGTGTCATACTACACACCCAATCCAAGGGCGAACACAAAAATAGCAAAGTACCACAGTGACTTTACCAATTAAAAAGTGAACTCTAAAACCACATTTACTCATTTGGCAGGTTACAGAGTCTGCAATGGAGGGGTTAACAGATCACAGCTGGGAGGACAAAATGGCCATCTGCTGCTTGTTTCAATGCACTGCCACTCATTCACCCAGTGCCAGTAATCACCAGCCAAGTATTCACATTCACAATACTGACACTGCACCCACCAGAGCACTCAGACTCTCAGACTGGTGGGAAAAATATATCAAGCTTAAACTGTGTGACGACTCACTAATTTTTTCAACTTAATTTGGTGAGATAAAACCTGTTATAGATATCAATTACAGTTCAGAATCAAGAAGCAAATTGTGAAAAAAGGTTGAAAAATATGTGGAAAATTACAGGAAGTAGAGCGTTCAATTTTTGAGAGTTCCTCTATTGATGATCACACTGGGAAAATTCTATCCAAAATTTCGGCTTAATTTACACAAGAAACACATTTTTTTTCTGATACTTTAAACATAATTTCAACAAAATAAAAGATGTTATGGACACCTTGAGATGCTACAGTCTTTTTACACATTACATGTGTAATAGCACATGTGGCAGAAGACCTTCCAGAGGAAATACTTTGAGGGAATGGACCATTTCGTCACCAACTGAAACACCAGAATTGAGTAAGAGTGATGTGACACAGGATCTGCTGTCCCTCGCTGACCAGTCCTCCTGTTAAACTGCGCTGAGACCTTTGACTCAGCCACAAAGGTCACTGAAAAGCACAGTTTAAATGTTGCTGAAGCAAAACTTGCATTTCCCTCAGGACCTCTCTCTTTTCAAACAATATTATTGTTACTACAAGTTGATATCAAGAGACAATCTAAAGATTTGTATTAATCAAGAACAAAATAAAAAAAATTATTAATTAAAGTTTACCAGTAGCAGTGCTATAGGCATGTTACTACAACTACTAATATTATTATTGCTGCGACATACCGTATATAACAAATGTGACTGTTAACTTTTGCTTTCGAGCAATGCTTTGGAGTGATATTGTGCTGATGAATCAAGGTAAAACAATTATGTGTGGTAAGGCCCTTTGTTCCCATGACAACGTCACAAATTGTAGAAGTAGCTCACAGTAAAAGGGAAACACAGGAAGGAGGAAGAGGTCTCCGTACGGCTAAAACAATTTATTATGTTGCTGTACCTCTAATAAGTTCATAACATAACTCAGTTCATATACTACACTACTGTAAAACTGTCTGAACCAATCTGAGTAATCAAGATATACAGAAAGTGAAGGCTTAAATGGTTCATATAGGAAGCTTTTAGTAGCAGACTGATTGACTGATTGATAGATAGACTGACCATTCTAGGTCTGAAATGATCCAAATGATTCATTGTATGCATGTAAATTGCATGTACATTAAGTATGCTGGTGTGTTAGATGATGTGTTAAATTTTCCATGTTGGCTATAATCTTCACATATCATTTAAATGTTTGTGAATATGTTCTATCTTTTTATTAACAAATAAAAATTTAAAAAAGTTATACCTCCAATCTTTCTCAATAGATTTAGCTACAAAAATATCCTAGTTTTGTATTATGTGTGTTAGTTCTAGCAGAGCGTTTTTGGCAAATAACCCCTGCTGTTTCTTTGTAACTCCAGACCAAACCCCAGTCAGGAGCCCTGCCTAATTTTCAGACACCTTTTCCATCCTCCTACGTGACTTCTCCATGGTACAACGTGTTACAACCAGGACTCACAAAAACATCCATACATCCCACACACACGTTTAGCATGAGAACACTGCTAGCTGGGTTTTGTGCTGTTCATCGTGTGTGTGTGTGATATTGACTTTTGGCTCCTTAATATCCCTATCGAGCAGCAGTTTAAAGGGACCTGATAAGGCCTAGAGGTACAGAGATTTTCAAGTGAACAATTTCAAATGATATTCACAAAGAAGTCCCCAATACGTGTTCACGCTGATGCCAGGTTGACAGTGTAATTATGCTATTGTAATAATTCTCGTGCATACAGAATCAATATGGGATAGTTCCTGAAGAGAACATTACTGTATTGAAAAAGGAGCATTCATGGATTTCAGTTGCATAACTATTCCTGTTATAGGTGCCATTTTGAGGACTTTTCACAATTTTGATATTGTTACACGTTACGGCACTGTAAAACCCAAAGATATATAATAAAATTTTACATTATGGGTGCATTTTGAGCTGCTACTTGTAATGGCAACAGTACTATTTTTTATCAGTGTATATCTCATATATTTAAAAATAAATTTATATGAAAATGCAGCAGTTTTATGCAAAGTTATGTACAAACGGTTCATCTAGCTCCAACTGTTACTGCCAATATTTTCACCTCTTTTGTTTTTAAATGCTGTAATGTTTACGCTGCGTGAGTCATTGTGGTGCTTAAATGAACAAGTCCTTCTGTAATTGCTATTGTGCTCACTGTTATTTAAACATATGCAAATGGGGGACATGGGGTCAAAGTTCAACAGTGAATCATCATCGGTACTTGATCAAAGAGCAGAGCAGTGTAGACGGTCGATGTGGTGAGGTAAAAGGATTGAAGGTGGGTTAGGTAATCTATTGACAAGTAAGAAGGCCCCCACAATACGATTTTTAAAGAGCCATTTCAACGATCTTATATAATAAAGGCATGACATGTCTTTTTTTTTTAGTAATAAATGAAAAAAAAAAATCCACATTAATTTAGTCTTCTTTTATACATTCACTTCTTGGGTTCTTTTTAAGCCCAGTTCTGAAGATGTCAGCAACGAAAATACACCTCCTACTGTATTGTAAAATAAAAAGCATATTTGATTCTGTATTGGAACTGTATTTACTCTATAACTAACTAACTAACTAAAATATCTCAAGATTTTTGTACTAGTGCTGAGTTTTTTGTTTGAGAGTATTTTAGTGTCTTAGTAAAGCATTTGCCCACTAACCAAAAGCTTGCTGGTTCATTCCCAGCTTGGACCAGCGCATGCCGTGGTTGTGTTCTTGGGCAAGACACTTCACTCAGCATTGCCTTGGGAGGTTATGCAGTGTGAGTGAATGACTGATGGGGCAGATTGACACTCTTGCTTCTACCAGTTCACCCCAGGGTATCTGTTTAATCGATTCCATCACTCCGTAGAGAGGAGCATTTTAATAGGCTTCCAGAATATATAAAATACAATTAAAATGAAAGGCAATATTATATTAACTGTAGAGGAGAGCAATTTATCAAATTTTAATCAAGAATGATATTCCGTCATGTCTAATCTTCAATCATATGATGTTTTTTTTATAGAGAGGTCCACATCCAGGATGTGGTGCAGAGTTTGGACTTTGGAGGAATACATTTTTGTAAAATGGGAAAAATGTGTTTATATTCATAATATCAATATAGAAATCGGTATGAGGAAAAATTTAAAACATTTAAATGAAGTTGCTTTTTTCTTATTGACAATGTAAAAAATTTTTACTTCGAGTGTAATTTTCTCAAGGACACAATGCATCAAATTAGGACCATTTTGTGGCAGTAACTCACTCACTAATGGGCTCCATGAAAAAATAATGCTGTAATCTTTTTAATCTGTGTTCCCACCTGTGGTTCTTGTCCTCCATCTGTAGCGTGTAGACGATGTCATCGGCGAGCAGGGCGCGAGTGTGCGTGTTGCTGTTGTTTTCGCCCCATTTCAGTTTTAGGCTCTGGGGTCCCGCGGCGGCACACTCCAGAGGAGGCGGGGCTGGAGGGAGCGTGTCCGGACCACGAGGGGGGCACTGCAGGGGCTGGAGCCAATGGCATTCACCGCCTGGATCAGCACACTGTAGGAGAGATGAAATACAAATGAGTGAGTGCATAATTAGATCCTATTATCTGCAGTAATTGACTTTTTAGCATTTGGCAGGTCACTTTTTCATCAGGGGTTACCCAAGTCCACCATAATTTTGAATTACTGGAACTGGAATGTGCAATGTAAAAGATAATTTTATTTTTCCATTCATTTTTCACAGTAATTTATTATACCTGGGTGTCACTTAACGTCCTCCTATAATAAATTACAGGAAAAATGCATGGACAAATGTAATTATCTTTTACATTATTAGAAGATTTGATGAGACAGTGGCGAATTGAGACAAGAGCAGACAAAATATCACATTGAATCTGCAGGTCTTGTGTTGTGGTTGAATGAAGTTATAATTAAGAATTTCACAGTGCAGTAATTACAGTAATAGAAATCTAAATACCATGGGAATTAAAGGGGTAACAGCATCTCTTACTCTACTTTATTTCATGTTAAAATGATTCATCTGAACCCAACCCTAACATAACAGTAATTTCAATTTCAAAGACTGCATAACTTTTCTGGTGGAGGGTTTGCCACTTGTTTGTTTCCATGGAGATGTTCTTTATCTCCAAGCAGATGACAATACAGGTCAGATGTGTGGAGAGGAGAGCCAGCTCATAGCGAGATTGTATAAATAACTGAATGCATTTAAGTTGATCAGTTTAATGCCATGCTGTGGAACATACCAAGCAAAGTAATAACACACAGGTAAGACAGACAGGTACACAAGTGGCAGACCCTAACCAGAAATGATACACTGTGCAGCTTTAAGGGAAGTATTATTGCAAAGGTCTTGAGAGATATATTCCCACCTTCCATTTGGAGAATATGAGATATTGTAGAGACCCATATACTGAATGGAACAGAACTCTTGACCCAGTTTTTCACAAAAGTAACAGTACACAACATGTTAAAGGGCCCGTATTATGCTATTTTCTGATCTATGTTATAATGTTGTGTGCTTCTCTACAGACACATCTGAAGTTGTGTTTTATTTCATTCATACAAATCCTGTACATTTAGACTGTTCTTCTCTCAGACTGAAAACTCTCTGTTCCTTGTAATGTCATGCAGTAATAGAGGAAGTGTTCCAGTGTGTTTTTAAAATCCATACACCTTCACTAGAATTATTTGCATGATTTCAGCCCTAGAATTTACAATCTCTACTAAATAGAGATGTAACGATATGCAAATCTCACAGTATCAGGATATGAACCTCATGGTATGATATTTATTGTGATATTTTGAAGAGGCTAATATAATTGTAGATGGGACTCTTTTTTTGCTTTTAAAATACCTTGACAAGATTTTGGTGTGAATTATTACTATCATAATTCTGAAAATTAAAGTAAAAACATATTTCTTCATGTTTTCTGCACTGAAATGAATCATCAATCATCATCAAGCTGTTGCTACTACAAAACCATGCATTTAAGCAAAGGAACTTGTGATTCGATATATTGTGACAGCCCACAATGTTATTGTGAGACTTTTGACAATACTGTATCACGATATTTCGGTTATTGTTACATCCCAACTACTGAACAAAAGGTAGTGGTTAACCTCAAAACTACCTGTTCATGACATCACGAGATAGAACAGAACATTTTGTGTTTTGGAAAAGAAGACAGACTAATAATAAAGTGTCACTCAAACGTGTGAATGAAACAAAACAAATAACAGCATTACAGCAAGGCTAAAAACTAAAAAAAAGACTCATTTTAAAATAGTATGACATTCAATTCTAATAATTATACATTTCATCTCTGGATTTTAAATGACAAGCCAAAGTAAATATATACAATTTGTCCACTTGAGATGTGCCCCTGCATGCCCTTAATTTGAATACTATATGGCATTTAATATTTGTATTGTATTTTTTTAATCTATATTCCATTATCTTGTGACCCCTTCTAGTTGGTGCTATTAGTAAACCCTATAATAAAACAAATAAAATCCTTTATTATTTCCCTGCTTCTATCTATGTCTATTATCTGCAGTGGTGTAGCTGTGAGGTCCTGACCACCTGATTAGCATCCTCAGCCCTGCCCTTCACTATCTCCTGACATTTGATTGTGGTACTGTAACCTTTTGTGTGAATGCATGGCTCTAGGTTGCAAAAGGCCAGCTCTCTTCTCCTCCTCTCTGTGCAATTAACAATATGAGTAACCCAACATGACCAGAAAGGTGCAGAAGACACCTATTACAGACAAAGGGATTTACTTCTGACTCTACATCTCACAATTAACCCAGAAAAGATTTGCATATGAAACGAGAACGGTGTCAGAATTACAAGTTGTTGGTAAAATGAGCAAACTCCACGTGTGAACAGCTGGTCTTGTGTGTGGGGAGTGTAAACATGTTTTGCTTCGGGCTCCTGACAGGTACGGGACACTGGTTAGGACAAAACACGTATTTATAATAAGGTGTTGTTTATCGATTGGGGAGTACATCCTCATAAACATATTGTCCAGTGTAATTAAAACACTTTTGGGAACATTGTGATTAAGTGAATGTTTCTTTTAGCACCATGGTAATGCTACAAAAACAACTAGCATGCTAATACTAGATCAACCTTACTTCCTGGTTCGTGGAGAATAAAAACGCTCTGTAATTCAAGCAGAGAACACACAGCAGTTTTGTTTTGAAACTAAGAGCTGGATTTACAATATACCTGTAAAGGGGTGACACAAATTTGACTTAACATGAAAAAAAATAAATAAATTAAAACACTTTATTTATATGTTGTCTGAAGTAACCACTAGTACCAAATAGCATTTACTGACTGTACTTAAACAAAATAAAAAATGATCCCTATTTGAACTTAAAGGTGCACTACGTAACATTTCTAGTGGAGGGTGGAATGGAAATATTATTGCTTTGTCTAGAATGTTCCAGAATATACATTAAGGCCCCATCCACACTAGTAAGTATTCGAGTAATTTTCATTGCGGATGCAGTGTTCGTCCAGACTAATCCTATGGAAAACGGCTCCAGAGACAGAACGATCTCCTTGAGTCAGACAGAAGCTGAACCACATCAGCGCACCATAGCAAGCTGTTTTTTGAGCACTTAGTTTATGTAAATTAGCCAAGCAGTTTTAAGTTTTGTGTCTGTAAAATATAAACAAATATGCTCAAAGCTGTGTGGATAGGGAAGGATTGCAGACACAGAAATGATGTGTCTGGACGCAAATTGGTTCCGATACAGTGATACGTTTCAGTGTAAACATAGCCTAAATCTATTTATCACGAGGGAGACAAGCAGGTTATGGCACTACGCTACATTACAACTCAGATCTGTGGAGAGTCGCCCCTATTCACAGAACCATAGAAACAACCATAATGAATAAATGCTAGATGCACATGTTCAACGTCATACCATAGAATATTCAAGGCCAAGCAATAACATCTCCATGGTGACAAGTACTGCCCATTTAAGTGTCACTGGTGTAAATAACTAACATCACACACACACTCACAGTACAGTACAGTATTTTCACACCTGAGCAGCATGTTCAGCTCAGCGCCAACCATTATGTCAGAGAGCACCGTGACATGAACAATAACAATGAAAACAACAGGACCTCTTCTCTCCCGTTTCACAGAATCCTCTCATAAGAACCACATACGAGAGACAGTACACAGGCATACAACAGCTCAATATAGATAAGAGAACTTTTATGCGCCCCACAATATTATGGACCAAAGATAGGAGCAACTGAGGATTTCTAATGGATGTCAAGAATGGTGTTTTTATAAAGCGGAGGCCAGTTATCTATTGCAACAGTTTTCTGTTTACCTACAAGAATGGAAATGCAAAAACAGGCCAGGTTGGGAAGACTTTTCTTGGCTGATGTGTCATTTCTGTTATTTGGGGGGTTAAGAAATCAGGTTCATTATTAATAACTCTGTATTTTTTTGTTTTCAGATGCAGTGAGCCAGAGACTGCATATTTCTCAAGTGGACAGTAGCTTTATCAAGGATCATGGTCTCATAAAGTATAAAAAATATTATGATTATGATGTAAATATACCATAATTACACAAAAGAGACAAATGAAAAAGAATTATTCAAAAGTTTTTGTCCATACCTGTACTCTGTGTCCTGGCTGCAGCCCTGTGACCATGTGACTCGTTCCCGACTCCACGGTGATGGTCTGGTCGTCCACGGTTACGATGTAGGAAGTGATTTCTGCCCCGTTGCTGTTAGGCTCCTCCCACTTGAGGAAGAGGCAGGTGGAGGGAAAGTGCCCGGTCTCGGGGCAGGTGGGCAGGTCCAGGAGGGACAGGGTGGTCACAGGGTCTGGGTGTGTGGCTGGGGTTCTGATACTGGCCTGGTCACTGTAAGGTCCTGCTCCAGCCTGGTTCACCGCCTAAGAGAGAGAAATAAACAAATATAGTATAGTCTTTTTTCTTGTTTATTCTTTTATTATAATTTCCTGAAGAAGCTAACTTGTTATCACTGTTTAGTTTGTTCATAATGTGCCAGTATTTACGCATTTAAGTTACTGTAGTATTCATATTTTATGTAAATTTTTATTTCTTTTTTTTTTATTGATGACATTGTGCATTGATATTAAATACCCAAAAGGTAAATTCACAAATAATTTCTATTAATGACCCTGGAACTCGCAATATATTAACAAAAATCTGCATTTTAAAAAGTGAATTTTAGCTACCCACCAAATGTATAAAATATTATTATACTATTCCTTTATTATTGTTTATCAAACTATCTAAAAGTCTTGGCTTATTAATAAAACTACTGGTCTTTTTAAAAAAATAGTCTTGGCTTATTTCTTAATCAACTTTTCACAACCAAAAGAATCAACTGAGTCAAAGATTCAGTTCCGTTTTATATTGTTTAAGCTTCTTTAGTTCATGGTACATGGCCACATGGCTGTAGTTACCTGTAGCCTGCAGCAGTACTCTGTGGCTGGGGTCAGATCTGACAGGTCACACTGTGTGGCAGATCCACAGTAGATGAGCTCCATGGGCTCGTCCTCTCGCGCCCACTCCAAACGATACTCCGAAATGTCACTGCCCGATCCCTCCGGACTCTGTACAACACACAAAGAATAAAACGTAAAACAATGATCTAAATATGTTATAGTTTAAAGGTCCTTTATTACACAAGCTTGTCTCTTGTGCACTTTAAGCCATGTTAGAATATTGTTACCTCAAAAACATAACTGGAGTTGTGTTTTGCTTCATTCACACATATTTTATTAACCCTTTATTATTAGACTGTCTACATCTCATGACATGTACCTTGTGATGTCATGAAGAGGTAGTTTTCAAGTTAATAGCATTGGTTCATTCGAGACTGTTAATTCTTGGGCTGAAATCATACAAATGATCCTAGTGAAGGTGTATGGAGTTTTAAAACACAGTGGAGTACTTCCTCTATTACCTGGTGACAATCACAATCACAAGGTGGAACAGAGTGTTTTCAGTTTAAGGGAAAAACTCAGCCAAAATATGCAGGGTTTGTGTGTTAAACATGTGTGAATGAAACAAAACACAACTCCAGGTATGTTTCTGATGAGGACACATTCATGCCATAGAGAATATTTACTCATGTAACCTTGTAGGAAGTTTATAATGACAGTAGATTAACCAAAGTTCAGATAGTCTTCCATTTCGCTTTTCTAAAACATGCCAAATGAAGTGTAATAAAAAAAAAAAAAAAAAAAAAAAGATGAAATATAATGTCTTATTCTCTTCACTACTTTCTACAAACTCTTAAGTGGTAACAAAGATCCCAAAATAAATTGGTTCTTTTAATTTTCCAACTATTGTTATTGACTTAAATTAGGCCGTCTCACAATATCTGCCTCCACAAGGAACTGCTATTACTAGAACAAACACTTAATTACCCACTTTGCCACAGAAAATCTCTAAAATGCCTTATTTTTTGCTACGTATTAATGAAAATATTGTATAAAGCATACAGCTCACCTCCCAGTTAAGCGTTACAGAGGTATTACTGCTCAAAGTGATGACCGGCACCCCACACTGGCCTGGAGGTCCTGCTGCAGTCGTTACCTCTGTTGGTTCTGAGTATGCTCCAAACTAGAACAAAAATAGTAAGAGGTTATATAACATAATATAGTGTTAAGTTCAAGTTGCAGTCTTAAAGGTGCACTGTGTAATTTTTTCTGGGGGTGGTCCGCAACCTGTTTGTTTCCATGGAGATATTAACGTTTTGGTTTAAATTGTCCAGACTATGGTATTATACTATTCTGTCTTGTATTTATCCAGCTGCATTCTTACTGTGAGTAGGGCCGCATCTACACAAATATAACCTATAATTTGGCTTGGCAAATCTCCACGGAGACAAGCAGGTGATGGACCCTCCACCAAAAAGTTACACAGTGCACCTTTAATGCATGCTTTTTTACCTGTCAAGGTGCTTGAAAGGGGCAAATTGTGTACAAGATGGTATTGAAATAGTACTTTTGAAGATTTGTACATTTCTAATATCAGATACAGATACAGTATACTGTTGCTGTACTGAGGATGCTCACTGACATCTTGTTGTCCTTGTTATCTTTGCCTGAGTCAGACAGGACTGTACTAAATTAGGACAACTTCTGCATTAGAACTACAGCCTCATGTTTCTTCTCTTCAACTCTTGAGCTACTACAATTTATTTTATAACATATATAGTCAACATGAAAAGGTGCAATGGTGTAATGTTTCACAGTATGGCATTAAACCTTTCTATCATCATGGTTACAAGACCAGACCAAGTTACAGGTCAGATGTTTGTCGAGGCAAGCCCGCTTCCAGTCAGAATGCTTGTTTTTCTAGGTATTTTTGAGCTATAAAACCAACTATAATTGAATTCATTTAAGGTAGAAGTTGAATGTCATAGTGTGGAACATTCCAGGTAGACCAATAACACTGAACGTCCCCCTGCCAACAAGTTACATAGTGCGCCTTTAAAGAAATAAGGATAAAAAGTCAATGTTTGTCCATTTTCAATATGAAGGTGCCGTTTGAGGAGCTAGAATTTATATTGTCCTAAAGGAAGAGGAGCTAGCTTAGTCCTGGCCTAAGGGATGAATGAGGAGGGAGTACACCGAATAACAATAAGGAAATCTGCAAAAAGCTGTAAAAATATATGACTTTTTAATATGATGTATTTGATAAAAAAGAAACCAAATCTCAGTGTTATATTCAGCACTTAGTTTTACAGTCCCCACTTGTTGTACCTGAAGACATTTGCCACCACATTTTTATGATCCCAAAGAGGACTGAGGTATTTTCTTAATATTGTCCGCTACCACTTGGGCGAAGAACTACTTGTTTGTTCTGTTTAGATGGGTCGGAGGGGAGCGTGGGCCACCCTAATTGAGCTAATAATGAGAATCAAATGTTCACTTCAGACGAGGGACACTGTTCCAACTAATGCAGCCTCTTAAAACTGTCTGGGACATTCTGCCCTAGAAAATACAGCTGTGTGCATCTCTGTGTGTCTCCTCCAATATATGCTTATATTTACATTATCTTAAATAGAAGCTAAATATACATCAAGGTTATGAACGCTGTCTGATTGGTCCTTTTTGATGATAAATGAATGATATACCACTTGACCCCTTTTTTGAAGCCTCTCAAAGCGTTACTCTATAATAATTTTTCATTCACTCTATACTCTGGTGGTAAGAGAATATTACAATCACAGTTGTCATGGGGTAAACTGACACCACATTCATAAAGAGCAATCTAAGTGAAGTGTCTAGCCTAAAGACACAACAACATAACTTGGTATTTTATGTACTGATAAAATACAATTAATTAATTTCAGATTTCATATGGCATTTGGTTGTTGTGGACACCATTTTGAGACCTACGGACTGATTGAAAATATAGATAATTTTGTTTATTGTAAACTGCTACAGCAAAGGTAATTTTTAAAAAAATCTCTTGACATTCATGGATAATTAAACAAACAGCGCCCCTAATTCTGCTATTAATATCATTACTGTTACCTTCTACAAGAATGACTAATAATACTCTTTCGATTTGAGCCAGAGTTACTTCTTTACTATATATGTTTACCATATAATTAAAGGATTATTTGGCCTCTATACATATGAGAGTATTGAATGATTCTTACCCCAGCCTCGTTGGCAGCCCGCACCCGGAAGTTGTACGTTGCACCTGGTAGCAAACTACCCACTGTGCATTGCAGCTCTGCGCCATTGTACACTTCTGCGGGTTCACTGTCTCCTTCGCTCATCTCCAAACTGAAGATGCACTGCTCACACACTCCCTCTGTTGCGGGAGAGTCTGAAAGGGTGAAAAATAAAGTTAAAGCTACACTATGTATCTCCAATCAAAAAGTAGAATGAGCTGCTCACTTTGGGTTGCCAGATCCTAAAGCAGCAAGGAAGGTTTATTTGTACAGCACAATTCGAACACAAAGTAATTCAAAGTCAAAAGACATTAAAATCACAATCCAAACTAAACAAAACTTAAGCAATCATCATAAAATTAACATTAAAGCAGAAGAGTGCAGAATAAAGAACAGTTTGTGGTAAATCCAATAGAGCTGTCTATTATCTGATTCTTTCCTCAGTAGACTTATATGGCATCACAGGTTGTCCCATTGTAAAGTCATATCTACACCTAAGGTGACGCATATTACAGCTATTACCTGTAACAATGCCTAATCAACTGAATACATGTTGTTTTTAAAAATAATTTTCCTCACCAGCTGCTGTGTATTGTGGAAAATTACGTTGGGGAAACCTTGCTGGAGTAGAAATGGCAGAAACCTGAATAAGAGTTGATTGGGTCCATATTTATTAAATCCAATTCAAATAAGAACCTCTCCCGGTTTTAGCCTGGTAGCCATAAGCCTCCCTACAGACAGCAACACTAATGAAATATAATGGGTGGACATTAGCAAAGCTGAGTCAGATGCGAGAGAAGGGAGGACGTTAATGGGGTAAATAAGAACACAATTAAAAGGAAAAAAGGTTGACCGAGTTTGCATTGGAGCTGCTACATAGACAGCAAGATATGTTATGTAAAGAGTTGAATCAGGCTGATGAGTCTCTATGGCCTTACCCCATTCTAACTGCACTTCCTTGTGTTTGGCTTTTCCCACAATCCTCGGCGGCACACAGGGCCCAGGCGGGACACATAACGTACGGACAGGTACACTCACAGCACACTGTAGAAAGAGGGACATTTACTTTTACATATAATGCATTGGACATTCAAGTGCTTTAACACATTGGATTTCTTATATTTTGTTTGGAACTTAAAGCTGCATTGCACAACTTTTCCGGTGGAGTGTCCGTCACCTGCTTGTCACCGTGGAGATGTTTTTGCTTATTCATTATGTGTGATTCTGTTGCTCAAGAATATAAGAATTCTCTCTGTGAATAGGGTTGCATCTCCACAGATCTGACCTGTAATGTAGCCCACAGTTGTCTCCCTTGAGAAAAATGGGTTTAATCCGTACTGTGGAACATTCTAGACAACGTAATAGCATCTCCATGGAGGAAAGCATATGACAGACCCTTCACCAGAAAAGTTACAAATCACTTTTAAACTACATAAATTAATATTGTTCCATTTGTAATGATATGAATATGTTAGTAATATCTTATAACATAGATCAGCAAGTGTCCAATCATAGTTTCCTGTACTAATGATCAAATAAATTTAAGTTCTCATTACAAAGTGTCTTGATAGTAAACAATAAAAAAAAATTAAAGTAGATTTTGAAGGTGCACTATGAATCTTTTCTGGTAGAGGGCCCACTAGCTGCATGTTTCTATGTAAATGTTATTGCTTTGCCTGCAGTGCTCGAAAGTATGGCATTAAACTTCAATCTCCATAGAGACCACTTTACAGGTGAGATCTGTGAAGAGGCGATCCCACTCATACTAAGAATGAATGTATAAAGCATTTTTGAGCAATGAAACCCCCCATAATTAAATAAACGCTTATATAAATTTAATACCATATTGTGGAACATTACAGGTAAAGTACAGTGTAACCAATTTACATATTAACACATTTTTCTGTGGCTCTTCTACAGATCTTGGCAATGTTGGAATCACGAAACTAACTAGACTAACGGCAAATATCATTGATATACATAGCTTCAAAAATTTCACCAAAATACATGATAATACACTTATATAAACTGTAATTTCTGCCTTTCATTGTTTATACCATTGTCCCATTCATACCTGACCTACTGTTCTATTTACTAAACCATTTTAAAAAAAGTAAATATAATTGATCTACATTGCTTAAAATATTGCTCCAAAAAACATAAAAATTATACTTTTTTTTGTTGTTTACTCTGTTTTCCCATTTACACCTGACCTACTGTTACCAAAACCACTGGTGACTAATCTACATAGTACTCTCAGTACATGTAAACCCATTTCCCTGTATTATCTGACTGACAGCATTGTTTAGCCTAGTGAATATTATTGATCTACTTATTTCAAATATTTCTCCAAAAAACATTAAATTTGACTTTTTTTCCACCATTGTTTACTCCATTGTCCCATTTACACCTGACCTACTGTTACGAAAAACACTTTTGACTAATCTGCATAGTACATTCAGTCTATGTTAAAGGTGCACTATGTAACATTTCGGTTGGGTCACCTGCTTGTTTCTATGGATACTGTATGTCACTGCTCTGCCTGGAATGTTCCACAGTATGACATTGAACAGCTTTACCTTACATTTATTCAATTACAGGTGGTTTTACAGCTCAAAATCTGACCTGTAACTTGGTCTGGTTTGGTCTCCATGATGATAGAAAGGTTTAATGCCATACTGTGAAACATTCCAGACAAAGCAATAACATTTCAAAAAGTATTTGGCAGACTCCACCACAAGAAAAGTTACAGAATACACCTTTATACTTAAGACTTAGACGAACTTTACTGATCCGGAAAATATTTGGATAGTAGTTCACACATCACAATATATCATAATAACAAAGACGAAAAAATATAAATGGTAATAACACCTTCTAAATAAGTAGCAAAAATAGCAAGAGACTGGTGCCAAAAGTGAACCCTTACCTGACTGTGCCCCCCGGTGGTGATACTGCACACCCGTAGGCGGTACACTGTTCCGGGGGTTAGGCGCTTGCACACGCACTCCGTAGCTGGTCCACTGTAGGCCACATCCCACGGGCTTGCTGCATAAACACATAAAAGTATATTAAAACAACCATTCTATACATAGCAGTCTATTGATTAAAGGTCCTATATTACGCAAAATTGACTCTTGTGAGTGTTAAATCATGTTAGGTTGTTGTTACCTCGTCAAAAAACATACTCAGAGTTGTGTTTTGTTTCATTCAGATATGTCTGAGTAATCTTTTCTTATTAATCTGTCTACATCTGCAAACCTAAAAATGCTCTGTTCTACGGTGCGATTTCATGATAACAGCTACCTTTTACCTTTTGTTCAGTAGAGATTGGCAATTCCAGGGCTGAGATTAACCAAATGATTCTAGTGAAGGTGTACACAAGTTTAAAAACACTTTGCAACGCTTTCACTTGACCTCACAACGTGCAAAAAAGTGAAGAACTCAACCTAAATATGCCGGATTTATGCATTAAACATGTATGAAAAACACAAAACACAACTCTGGGTATGTTTGTGACAAGGAAAAAACATTATAACATAGATCAGAAAACAGTGCAATAGGGGCTCTTTAAACGCCTAACCCAAATATTTTTGCCAGAATTGAGTCTTGACCTGTATTGCGTCAGTCTCTCAGTTCATTATGGCCTGTATGTATTATGTAGCCTGTCTACACAATAGAGGCATTGTTTTATGGTTATGCAATGTACGAGTGTGTTTGAATTATTCATGTGCTATTAACAAGGTGAAGTTAAAGTAAAGCTACATGATATAATAATGTTTACCCAACCTTAACTAAAGACCTAGGTAAACGTGAATATTAAGTGCTTATATTTCTTAGCAGTAATATAGGAGATCGCTAATATTTTTTTCTTCCATAGAGAAGATAAATTAAGAAACGCATCTTAGCCCTCGATAATGTCAGAGCTAATTAACATTTCACTTAAGGATACATTAAATGATAGCTTTCTGTCAATGTCAACAGCACACTTGATTGCAGATATAGTATAAGTGGATAATTCGAGGAAATACAGAACATTTACGGCCTATAAAGCTTGAATTCATAACAGAGACACTCAGACCTTGGACGGAAATGTAATATTTAATTTACGTTGTATTGTATTTCATTGTCAAGGAGATACATAAATTGTTATATAATGTTGGCTGTACCTTCGGAGCATCCTTCTGAAATCTCAAGCAGGTACGTGAGAGCTTCGGAGCCGCCATTGTCCTGTGGGGGATCTGGAAAAAACATTGTGCATTAAGTCTACAATAGGATACTAGAATACAAAAACATAATACCACATGGAAATGACACAAACTTTATATCTATAACAACTAACCCTCTTGCAGTGATGAATTTAGTATTGTTTTACGCAAAATTGTGAGCATTGAGCCATGTTATAATGTTGTTACCTCAGCAAAAACATACCTGGAGTTGTTTTTCTTTATTCACACATTCAGTTTGAGTAACCCATTATTATTATTATTAGTCTGTCTACATCTCCAATGCTCAAGATGCTCTGTTCGACCTTCTGGTGTCATGAAATGGTAGTTTCAAGTTAACAGCTACCTTTGACCTTTTGTACAGTAGAGATTGGAAATTCCAGGACGGAGATCATCCAAATGATTCTAGTGAAGGTGTATTAAGTTTAAAAAACACAGTGGAGCACCTCCTGTATTACCACATGACATCACAAGGTGGCAAAGTGTGTTTTCTGTTTGAGAGAACACAGCCTAATACGCAGAGTTTGTATGTTTTACATGTGTGACGAGGAAACAACATTATAACATAGATCAGAAAATAGTTTAGTTTTGGCACTTTAAATGTAAAGATTTCAGCTTCCTGTTTATAGGTACCATTTTGAGTACTTTTCAAAAGATGAAAGAGTTTTCAGTTGTTAATTGCTATGGCAGCTGTCTTTTTTTTATTATTTTGAAGTCATTGCATAAGCTTGAGAAATGGCAAAATGCATGTGACTGAACTGAAGCCTTTTTAATTCCAATTTCAAACCACTATTGATTTTGGGTTGAATAAAAAATACAACACATGCTTTCAAAATCACTACCAAAAAACAAATAAGCATGCTGACGGATTCTGAAAAAATATTAAAATGATGCTTTGTGATATCATTTTGTTTACTGGGACAAATAAAGTGCCCACATTCACTACAAAAACACTTATCTCGTACTATTATTCTTATTTTTACACTGGGTTTGAAATAATGATGGATTTTTTTTTTTACATAACATCTCCCATTGTCTGTAACATTTTATGTGTTGTTCTTGTGTGTTTTTTTACCCCATGTAACGGTGAATCCATAAGGCGTTGCTGCGGTGACGCACGGTGTAGAAGGAGGACCTGGTTTGTCTGGGTTTGTGGTGCACACCAGGACTTCACTGGGACTGCTCTTCCCCTCCGTATTTGATGCTATGAGCTGCAAAACAAAACAAAATACATTACATATATTTTATCTTTGTGCATTCAGCTGTCTTCAGCTGCTATTTTAAATTATATATTTGTTTTATTGTTTATTATGTTTCCTGTTTTAAAGCACTTTGGTGCAACTTGCTATATAGTGCAGTTTTAAATGCGCTATATATATAAATTTACTTGACTTGATATATTTGCGAGCAGGAATTGTGTTAATAATACATCACTCAAAACATTCTGAGGTAAACAATTCAAATTAAATATAAAAATTATGCTCATATTTTACTCATATTTAAAAAGTTGCACTATGTAACTTTTCTAGTGGTAGGTCAGGCACCTGCTTGTCTCCATGGAGATGTAATGCCCACAACATTCCACAGTATTGCATTAAACTTATCTAACTGGCATTTATTCGATTACAGTCTTTGTGATTACTCAAAACCTTGAAACGCATGTATTTTTATTGTTAGCTGATTCACCTCTCCACAGATCTGACATGTACTTTAATCACCCCCTGGAAAAGTTACTTAGTGAAACTTTAAATGGCACATGGATATAATTCATAACATCCTTTTTCACTTCCATCAAGCACTTGCTAACCTCAAGCCTTTATTGTAGATCAAAAAAAGACATATTTTGAAATACTAAACCAACCAATATATGATCAACTAATTTATTTATTTTTTTCTCTCAGTACCTGGTAATTTGTGGATTTTGTGGTATTTAACTTCTCTCAATGAATTACAAATCAGCGGTCTAGCCAGAATAGATAATATACTATTAGCAAAAGAAAAAAAAAATTCTTTCAACTGGAAAAAAGTTTTAGACAGAAGACATTTCACTAAAGAACCAAATTTTTCTTTTACTATAGACCCCACCTGGACGATTGAGGGATTACACCGGCATACTTAATATACTGTTGTTTCCTTTAAAATTAGACATGAAAATAAAAATTGGATAAGCGAACCTTCAGCCTACTGTATGTCTTTTTGGTCCTGTATTTGATTCGATTTTTCTGAGTGAGACTACCTGTTTTAATTGTGTTTTACTGAAATAGGCTAACTAACGAACTAAAATGAATGACCAGTAATAATCAAGTATAAATCAAAGTAGCAGCGAGGAGAGCCCGTTCCCATTCAGGGAGGCGAGTCCGTGGTCAGTGAGTGGGACAATTATTAGATCATTAGTTTCCGCTGTGGAAGCTGTGGAGCCCCTCAGACTTCCACTGCAAAATCAATTAAGACTGTTCCCAGGTTTCAGCCATTTTGGACATTGGAATAATTGTTTGTTCTGAGGGTGACCATGAGCCAAATCCGCACAAAGAAAATGTTCTACCTTGAAATCGACACAAAGAAGAAAAATGAAATTGTTACAGAAGTTAAATTGGAAAAAGTATTATTATTTTTGTTATTATGTCAGTGATATTGTCTGAAGAACTGCGAGGGCGTTACTTTTGTGATATTGGGTTTGCAAAATAAGATAAATTGAAATCTTTTATCACAAAGCATCCGCAACAGTTTGGCTTAATACAATAACTTATATAATAATAATATAACTTCACTAAAACATAGATATCATTATAATATTACTAAATGTTTTGCTAGGCTTTTGTAGTTTCCTAAATGTGATGAAGTTTATAATTTTGCTTCCTGCTTTGACAAGGGCAGTAGGTGATATACGTACGTACGTTACCTAGCAACCATTAACAAGGGCCAAAACGTGCCTAAAAACCCCAATACTTTTGGCTTAACAAATAAAAATAAATGACAATGTCTTTATTTTGTTAAATCAATGATTCAGCTGTCAGAAAAATGCTTTCCTTGTGTGTAAATTGTTGCTGCATTTGGGATGAAATTAATTTAAATATTTTCTGTATTTTACAACTTTTTGTTTTCTGCTTTTCTTCACAAACTGCCCCTTGACTGATGTAAAATTATGAGATATATTAAGCACAGATACTATCTCACAAAACTAAGTCATAATTAGAAAAAAAACAAACAAACATCTGTAAAATGCACTATAATAACAGTTCTGCCCTCCATTTGTACAGGCTTTAGACTGGTCCAATCAGTGTGTACACAGTGGATTACATACACCAGATAAAAGTTTGGACTCTCATTCATTTTTTGACATTTTTCGACATTTTAGATACACACATAAGATATCAAATATATGAAGCAAGATACATTGAATTATTTAGTAAAGAGGATTTGGTTATAAATTAATTATTTTAAAAAAGTACAATTATTACACACTTCCCCCCTCTTTTTTCCCTTCTTGTTGCATAATTCCATATATATTACTTCATATACTGTATTTGATGTCTTGTGTATGTGTATAAAATCTCTAAAGGGGAAAACATATTAAAAAAAAGCACTGAATGAGAGGGAGAGTCCAAACTTTTGACTTTTACTGTACATACCTGAATACATACAGACTTTGATATGAATCAGAAATCTGTGAAGTCCCCCTTCATACATTATTTATACCTATTTCCAGTCTGTACATTGCATATTATTACTGCTACACCTTCACACTGTTGATTTGTTGCCTGTACAGCACTGAATATGTCTGGAGCAAAATTACAGCCAATTCACACTAGGTAATTCCCATCATTTCTTTTCCAGACGGATGCAGTTTTATTACCACAAAATGACAAGCCAGGTTTTGTTGCTATCCTCTGAAATGTTTATTTTGACACAAGAACATTACACATAAAAAATATGTCTCCTTTCCTTCCCTTTTTTTTTTTTTTTACAGTATTTTCACAGTGAATCATGTCTCTCTATTTCTGTTCTCACACACAAGCTAAAATAATTCTGTCTTTTTATTTCCTGAAAGATTTAACCTAATTTTATTCACTACTAAAGACTATATTTTTCTGCTTGAGGGTTTGCCACTTGCTTGTCTCCATGGAGATGTTCTTGCTTTGCCTGAAATGTTCCACATCTAGCCATCCATCCATCTTTGGTTGGTGGTCTGTCACCCGCTTGTATGGATATGTAACTGCTCTGCCTGGAATGTTCCACAGTATGACATTAAATGGCTCGACCTTACCTTTATTCAATTGCAATTGGTTTTAATGCTCAAAATACCAACAAAAACAGGTATTCTGATTGTAAGTGGGATTGCCTCTCTACAGATTTGACCTGTAACTTGGCCTGGTTTAGTCTCCATGAAGATAGAGAGGTTTAATGCCGTACTGTGAAACATTCATAACATCTCCATGGAGAAAAGCATTTGACAGACCTTCCACCAGAAAAGTTGTGCACTGCACCATTAAGATCAAAATAACTCTGCTACTGTCTGCACCTAATCAAGTGTTTTAATGTCCGCTAATCAGGAAGTGCACATTAACATTCTAGTAGGTGTCACTGCACTGCAAACATGCTTTTAAAGATAGTAAAAATCAGTTACAGTGCCTTTAACCTATTTAATTGCATTTATTTTATCATCTCCATTGAGACAATCAGGGAGCAGACCAGACAGAAAAGTTACATAGTGCAGCTTTAACAATATTACTTAACTATTACTTAACTACTTAAAAGATGTAGGTTCATTTTGTGTGAATATGAGGTGATTTATGTATCAAAAAGGAAAAAAAAAGAACTCACCCTGAATTTATACTGCGTACTTCTCTTCAGGCCTTGTACAGTACAGGTCAAGTTATCTCCAGTGTACTTTGGATGAAAGTCTGTTCCCTGTAATAAAAATAAAATATATATTAGTTTTTGAACTTTCATGAGCGTTCAAAGCATTTTTAAGAATGAAGCTTTTTATGCTATAGGAACATGCAAGCATAACAGAAACATCTGGAACGTGTATCTGGTTTAATATGGCTTGTTCTGATCACCGCAGACACATTTATAGTTTAAGATTTACTGCTTTGGAGAATTTGCTGACCCCTCCCCTCATCATGACTAGGTAGTGTTTATATTTTAGTTGATTTATTTAGTCAAATGTTTTCTCAGTGACAGTAAAAAACGGAAAACCAAAATTCCAGAGCAGAAAACTACAAAGGTGAATGAGTTTGAATTTGAATGAACTGCTGGAAAATAAAAAAATGTCTAATTGTATAAAGCATATGTACCAAATGTGTTTTTCCATCTTTTATTCTTTTAGAGTTCCTATCCTTAGTAAAGAAGTAAAAGTATTACTGCAATCTCTAAAATGCCCATATTACACTATTTATTGATCTCTGTTATATTGTTTTCTCATCAAAAACATACCTGGAGTTGTGTTTTGTTTCATTCATACATGTTAAAAAACACAAACTTAGGATATTTCTTCTCTCAAACAGAAAACATTTTGTTCCACCTTATGATGTCAAGTGGTAATACAAGAAGTGCTCTGCTGTGTTTTTAAACTCTATACACCTTCACTTGAATTATTTGGTTGATTTGAGCTGTGGAATTGTCTATCTTTAATGAACTAAAGGTAAAAGGTAGATGTTAACTTCAAAACTACGACTACATGACATCACAAGGTGGAACAGAGCATTAAGAGCTTTGGAGATATAGACAGACTAATAATAAAGGATTACTCAAACATGTGTGAATTAAACAAAACACAGCTGTGGGTAAAGTTTTTGAGGCGGTGACAACATTTTAACATGACTTAAACCAAATTTTTCAGCTATTTTAGGTAATATAGGACCTAATTGTAGTTGTAGTGCAATGTAAAATTTTCACTGGTTTAATGATGTTTCCACGACATTTAAGGGTAAGTTGTTGTAAAGTTTTGCTTTCAAGTAAGCCACCTTTTGCAGTGTATTTTAGCAATTGTTTTGATCTAAACTTAAATCATGTGTCCTTACGCTGTTGTCCTCCTGGATCTCAAGTGTGTATTTGAGCTGTTCTTCGGTGGGATTGCCTTCCGGTTTACCCCACTCCAGAGTGACCCAGGACACCCCGGCCCGCACGAGCCTGGGAGCCAAGGGCAGAGCTGGCAATGTGCCCATCGTGTAGTACACTACCTCTGTGCTGAAGCCACTGTGACACACAAACACACATCATCAGTATTATCATTATTATTATTACACTCCTAAATATTTGTGGGGGTTTTAAATTATGTTGATACAGGAGAGAGTAGGAGGCAGGTGCAAGAGGGTAGAGGTGCGTAGTGAATACAGACTGAAATAAACACACTAGAGATGTTATACTATCACATTTTTGTGAGAACTGCACCATTTTATAATTATTTATAATTACTCACACGGTGATCAAAACAACTGTAAATTACTATTATTTTATAGGATACTATTGCCCTAGTGTGTGACCAGTTGAAGTCAAAATTACTGAACGATAAAATAAAATAAAATAAAAAAAACTCTCATTTTCTTTCTATTTACTTTTTGGAACAAAGATGAAATTGAAATTACTTATGTTACTCTATGTTACGATTATTATTATTATTAAGATGCACTGCATACATTTTTTGGTAGAGGGAGATGTTGCCTGGAATGTTCCACTCTATGGCATTACACTTATTTAATCTCTACTGAGGCACCACAGGGCCAAGTTACAAGTCAGATCTGTGGGGAGGCGAGCCCACTCAGAGTAAGAATCCAATCCAAGAATCCAAACCCATGTTATGGAGCAAATGGAAGATGGATACATTTAATGCCATACAGAGACATTCCAGACAAAGCAACAACATATCCATGGAGACAAGCAAATGGCAGACCCTCCACCACAGTGCACCTTTAAGACCTGAATAATCCTGTATCATTATAACAGTATTAATTAACTAAGTAACCTTGACATTCCAAAAACAGACAAATAGAAAAGTCTTATTTATGGATTTTCTGTTTTGAAAATTTGAATTTAGATGTTGTCAACTTGGTGTTTCCATTTCAAGAAAGAAAAACAACCAAAAATACGGTTGTTGTGGTGCATGCGGGCTATCTTGAGTTCAGCGAGTTTGTCTAATATGTTCTCTTTCACCCACCCCTCTCTCCCTCTCGCTCTCCGTCTCTCCCCCTTTTCTGTGTTCCTACATAGATGCTACATAATGACAAACAGGGCTGCGAGTGGAGATTGAAATGGAAGGAAAATGACAGTAGGAGAAAGGTGGCCGGTGAAAAACATGTTGCAGTCCATTACAGCACATCAGCTCTCATTAAATACTATACATTTTTATGGCTCATTCCACCATCTGGTAAAGTCTGTGGAGGCTACTATATGCTCTGTATAACCAATACTAAGAGACAAATATCTAACTATCTATAATTATTATGTTTTGATATTATGTTTTAGTAGTTATATACTCAACCAACTGCAGAGATAGGTACAGTACTTATTTCTACTACTAATTAGATGTAAAATGAAATGGTCCAAGTAGTTACTGTAACTGTAAGAATAAACATCTGGCCTTAAAGTCTGACTTTTTTTTTTTTTGTTATTGTAAGAGATAAACAATCAATTAAAGCACAAAATTGATGCACTTGGAGTTTTTAAAAAATGTTTTCCCAATGTGTTTTAAACTACAAATAGCAAATATACCTAACAAAGCTAAGTAACCTAAATCTATAGACACAAAAAACTATAAGAAACACAAACATTCAAATGCTGTCAATATAAAGCTTTGTATTACTAGAATTGTAGTAAACTGTGACAATCTAAAATGTATTACTCAAATTTGATTAAAGTTACACAAGTAAATGCACTTGCGTAAATGTGATTGAGGCCACATCTTATCTCTCTTCTTTCCTCCTTGATTCCCCTCCTCGATTCTGCAGGAAATAGGTGAGGAAGTCCCGCCCAAAGAGGAGACAAAGCAAGGAGAGACGATATAAACTCCTCACTGAGACCAATAAAGTCTGATTCTTTTATCTGATGTCTGTCTCCTGAAGCCTCCCTCACGTTAACTCCTTCCTTCCGTGGTTTTCTTTGGGACACCACGTAATACGATACATTTGACTGACAGCTGAAAAATCGAGAATCGAGGAGAGGAATCAAGGAGAAGGAAGCAAGCAAAGAGAAATGAGATGCGGCCTGAGTACAACCCACCCAAAAGATACTGTAATTCAACCTTGCTTCAAAGACATAAACATTATAGATTCCAATGGACCCATAGTAAAGGCCACATGATGCATTTCTAGCCTCATAATGGACATAATGTTATATCTGATCAGTGTATTCCTGTTATATGCGACACTGGAGGACTTTTTTCCCCATTCGAAATTGTTCATCTCTATGGCGACTCTTCTACTTTATCATAATCATTCTGAAACCCAAAGACGAGCGTACCTTGGGCCGATATCGTTGTGTGCGGCCACTCTGAAGGTGTAGCCACAAGCCGGGAAGAGCCGCGTCAGTTTACAGTGTCTCTGGCTCCCGTAGTAAAATTCGCTGAAAACACTGTTCTTCTTTCCCTGCAGGACAGAGAGAGTGTGGAAATTTATAATACAAGCATTAAAATGGCTGCACCCGGGGTGAAAATGAGAACACATGAAGAAGTTTGTTGTCCAAGAATCATGAAGTGTGCAGTTACCATGGTAGTAGTTGTTAACGCGATGGCAAAATTCCGCTCTGGACTCTTTTGAAAGGAGTTTAAGCAAACAAATCGCAGTGTGTAATTAGGATGTTCAGATTGCATTAAGTGAGCGTTTGAACCACTGCAAACTGTTTCAAATGAACATGTTTGCATGAAAATCAGATACAGTACCTTTAATAATAGGTTGTTTACTTGGTGAATTTGAAACTCTTAGATGGAAGTGAATTATGGATATTGGCAAGTCACCATTTTGAAAAGAAATCCCTATGCAAAAATTCCTGAAATTATATTATAAAGAAAGGAACATGTTTTCTTATTGGGAATTTGGTTAAACTTTTTATTTAATTATAAATTTGGTTCTTTGACTCCAGTCTTCCAGCTTCAAAATGCTTTGCTTGTAGAGGATCCAAATACTTTTCTCTGTGGAAATGTTACTGCTTTGTTTAGAATGATTCACAGTATGGCATTAAACCTTTTTATATTCATGGAGACCAAATCAGACCAACTTACAGGTCAGATCTGTGAAGAGCCAACCCCACTCATAGTCGGAGCTATTTTGAGCTATAAAACCACTTGTAATTGAATAAACAGTAAATAGAATAAAAAGTAGAACTATTTAATGTCATACTGTGGAACATTCCAGGCAGAGCAATGGCATATCCATAGAAACAAGCAGGTGATCTTTAACATAACCAAGACATGAGTTCCCAGTATTAAGTGGTTCTTTCAAACTATATAAGTAAATTCAATGATGTTTGAAGAGCTTACCTCATCCCACTCCAGAAGGTAGTTTGTGATTTTGGATCCGTTGTCGCCTGGGGCCTGGGGACACAGAAAAGCATGAAATAAAGAGAAGGGGCATTCAAAGAGTCAGACAAAGACGTGTGCAGTTTTCATCATTTTGTCTGGAGAAGGTTTTATAAATAGTAAAATGATTCATGCAGGAAGAGCCTTGGGGGATACAGAATGCAGATTTGGTGCACAAAGGCTATGCACAGATTTTAGATAACAAAAAATAAAACCACTTCATGTATATTATGTTATAAATCAATGGAGTCAATTAATAGGGGTGGACATTATCTCAATTATGTTAACAATCATAATCTAGATAATAACAGATTTATAAAGAGCCCTCAATTTAAAAAAATAATTCAAACTAAGCAAGCAACATCTCCATGAAGACATGCAAGTGGCAGACCCTTCATTAGAAAAGTTACAACATGCATCTTTAAGTATAACTGTCACAGATAAAAAGATTAATCCACAAAACTATAGAAAAATCCTGTTAGTTTGAAAACATTTGTAGAAGAGAGCAGTACCTTCCACTGTAGGGTGAGCGTGCTCTTGGTTCGATGGGACAGTTTGGGGGGAAGGGGGACGTCTGGGACACTGCAGTGTGTGGTGAAAGACCCTGCCTCCGAACATGAACCTCGGAGGGAGTTGTACATTGCAGAAACCCTAAAAGCACCAGTCTCATTAACATTTCCTCGTCATTCTGGTGTTTGATCAGTGGTAATTAAGTTTATCCGGAAGATCTTACCGTACGTGGTAGTCCGTCGCTGGCCTTAGGTCTTTAAGATGGTACTCCAACTCTTCTCCACTGAAAAAAGTTTTAAAATTTGAATGGAAAAAAACAAAAAACTTTTTTTCCCCCTTGTAATGCAGTAAGAATATAAGGACTTTACTGTAGACCTCATATGAAATTCTCTAACTTTAGCTTGGACTTTACAATAGATTCAACCCTGTTCCATTTACTATATGCATATCTACATTAACATAGTCTCAAATACAGACAACAGGACATAAAATTCAACTAATAAGAAAAACAGGTAAAGATGCACAATGTAACTTTTCTGTTTGTCTCTGTAGAGATGTTACTGATTGGCCTGGAATGTTTAATCATATGGCATTAAACATACATATAATTATTGTTTTAGTCCTTCAACATTCTATGGGAAATATGCATTCTTACTGAGAGCAGTGTCACCTCTCCACAGATCTGACCTGTAACCTGGCCTGATAATGCTACCTTTTATACTGTACAGTGGAAAATTCTAGACAAAACAACCTCATCTATGGAGACATGCAGTTGGCAGAACTTCCAGAAAAGTTACGCAGTGCACCTTTAATCACTCACAACTACAACCTAAAGAACACAGTACCTGTATATGAGTCTGTATTTTCCGTCTCGTCCTTTATCCGACAGAGAGACTTCGTAGGAGCAGGACACAGGAGCTCCATTACTGAGCCTGTTCACCAGCCCTGCAGGGGGCGCCCAAGACAACCGAGCTGCCCGCGCCTGGACATTTGACACCTGAAATATGTAGGAAAGTGGTTGTTTTATATTAAGTAATAGTACATGTATGGAACAGTACTAGGTGTAAATCACTTATTGCAGTGCATGTCAGCATCATCATATATTTTTTTTTAATTAAAGCACTTAATCAAAACAATATCTGGTATTTACAAAAAAAAAAAAGAAAACTGGGAACAAAAATGCCCAAAACTGCAATGTAAACTGTATTTATTTATTCCAAAATGAGAAATAGTGTAGAGTAGAATAGTCAGATTAGGCTTTTATGTTCACTTTTAAATAGCCTATAATTTGTAATATTTGAAACTTATGTCTCTTATTGCATTTTATTTATTTATATATTTGTTATTTGTAATTCACATTTATAAGTGAGAGAGAGGGGGGATACATTTCAAGATACTGTCAAATTCTGTGGTACAATACTGCTACAAAAATCAATAACTAGTCTATTTTGATAAAAATAAATACATAAATAATTTGAGTCTGGTTGTTTTTTGGCACCAGTTTCTGTTTACTGAAGGCTCCTTGTTATGATACTAATAAAGGCTGTCACTGCAGTAAAATTAGAAGTAGTTCACAACTGAACAAGAGAAAATGGTCAAAGGCGTCACCACTGCGTACTTGCAACTGTTTACAATTACAAGCCAATGAGTAGAGAGCGTACAGGTGCAAGTGTGAAGCATTCCTATTACTCATTATGCAACATTTGTCTCCATGGTAACTTTCTACGTATAATATTTTATTCTGCATTTATATGACCAACATTATCACTATGTGAAAACATAGTTACTCAAATGAACTGTTTCTGAACCACTCAAAAAGATAGGGGACAGACACGTTGTGGCGGTGAATTTCAATACGTTTTCCCTTTGTGTTAGCGCGGTTGCCAGTTTGAGCATGTCTGTACAAATTTCAGCATTGGGCGCATGCAGGGAGATACAATTTAGTGTAATTTCGCTCAGTCTGCTGCAGCCCTCATCTCAGCATCCTTTGAATAGTCAATGTCCTGGAGGGGACCACAAACCACAAACACGTCCTGCCTGTCTGTAAAGGAGGATAGACACATGGAGAGGAAATGGACTGCTCTGGGAGTTACTGATCTTAATGACAGATAAAATAGTGGTTCTCGATTTATTTAAAACTACTTTTGAGGAGTAAGTAGGTTTGTTAAACAACCAATAAAATACAATTTGAGACTAAAACTAGCAACAAAATTGGTAAAGGATCATACTACTACTGCTGCTATTACTGTTACTACTACTACTACTGCTGCTGCTGCTGCTGCTGCTGCTATTACTGCTACTACCGCTACTACTACTGTTACTGCTACTACTACTACAACTACAACTACTACATCAACTACAGCTACTACTACTACAACTACTACAACAACTACTACAACTACAACAATTACTACTACTACTACTACTGCTACTACTAGTTAGACATTGATACTGATACACGGGTTTTAAGCATCTGTACTCAATATCTATGTAGTTTTAGACTTTTCTTTAAGTTAAAAAAAGAAAATACATGAACACTATTTTTACATCAAAAAGTTTGCAGGACTGTAAGAGTGGACTACCCTAGCCCGAATGATGTTACAAACCAGTATTTTTCAAAGTCAGATCATAAACTTGATACCAGGCTGTTGTAAATTCCTGTGTTTTGACTTTTTATTTTTATATGACTTTAAGATTGTCATGGAATAGGGCACTAGTTTGATTTTCATTCTAATAGACCCTATATGTTTACGTGCTCTAAAAACAGAGGTGCAGACTATCACATTTCGTTATTACATAAGGAAGACAAAGGGCACGGAATCACTGGTGTACGATATGTGAAGGTGAAAATTACAGGTTACGGGCTCAATTGTCTGTTAAATCCCAGTTGATCCCAGGTAGGTTTAGGGCTAACTAAGTCTCAATGGAGTCTATTTTGGTCAGTGCTTGTGGCTGTGGTTTGAAGGTTGCTATGGTGATCCCACTGTTAAATTCTGGTAAAAATGGCTTTCATCTGGTCAAAAGTGAGTCTTAAAGGGAAAGGATTAGGGCTTTTAATTAAGTTTTAATGTATACTAACAAATAAACAACAACAAATAACAAATTAAGGTGATGTAGTAGATCAGCTGAAAACCAGACTTTACATCCAGACTTTTTTGTGTTTCCACAGTGGGCTTTCAAGCTCCTTACAACAGTTGGGCGCAATGAACAGTTTGAGTGCCTAAAAAAGCTCGCTATAGATATAACTTTTATTATAAAGCAGTGCAATATTCATGAGTTTATTTTAAATTATTAAAAAATTTATAAATGGTTTGAAAATCAGGCACCCAGCTCAAAGGGCGTATGTTACGCTATTTTCTGATTTACGTTATAATATTGTTTTCTCATCAAAAACATACCTGGAGTTGTGTCAGTTGTTTCATTCACACTTGTCATACATGATACCCAAACCCTGAATATTTAGGCTGAGTTCTTTCCTCAACCAGAAAACATTCAGTTAAACCTTGTGATCATTGGCGGAGTTAGTAATTTGGGGGCCCTAGGCAAACTTGAGTTTGGGGCCATCACTATAATGCACCTTTGTTTTAATTTCATTTTAATATATATTTATTGTCTGTTTTTGAGACAAGCACATCTCTATTTATCTGAATTATGGTGGACTGGAAACTTGTGTTATTAGTAAGGTAGCCTACTAGATAACCAGAACTGAAAGTAGTCTTTTTTACATTTACATTTTTGTTTACATCCATTATTCTTTTTCTTATGATTGTAAAATACTCTCATTTATTGTCATATTGAGAGAAAATCTAATTGCTCTGAGGCTTCGGCCATTAGTGGCACTAAGGACAAATGGTTGGGGGCCCCTCCAGGTTTGGAGGCCCAAGGCAGCCGGCTACTTTTGCCTAATGGTAGCGCCGCCTCTGCTTGTGCTGTCATATGGGGCTCCACTGTGTTTTTATACTCCATACACATTCAGTAGAATCATTTGAATAATTTCAGTCATGGAAATTCCAATTTCTACTGAACAAAAACGTAAACTGTAGCTGTTAACTTGAAAACTAGAGCTTCATGACAACACAAGGTGGAGCAGAGCATTTTGAGCTTTGAAGTTGTAGACAGACTAATAATAAAGGGTTATGCAAACATGTGTGAATGAAACAAAACACAACTCCAGCTGTGTTTTTGAGGAGGTAACAACACTCCAAGATGGCCAAAAGTTTACAAGAGTCAATTTTGCGTAATATAGGACAACCGATATTGGAAGAACAATGTATGTATGTTGCACCATAAGTACATTCTCACACTCAAACTCCCTAAACAGACAACAAAACAGTTATGAAATCCTCTTGTTGCCTCTCATATTTCATTTCAATCTGTGTAACTTTACCCAATTGCCGTAAAGGTAAACAGAATAGCCGAGAGCAGCTAATATTGTGAAGATTTTGATTAAATATTTTCTCATATGAGTTTTCCCCACTGCGACACCTGCTTCTGCTGCAGTGAGGAGTGCACTCAGCTAGATCCATCTAAACCCAATACAGCTCAGAGCACGTAGGCTGATGGCTTCAATCAATAACATGAGATATATCTAACCCATTATTCTCTGTAACCTCCTGACATTACAACGGCTATCACCTAAGGCTGTGCTCAAACTGTGGACTATTTTCCAATGTAGTTTCAATTATAAAGCTTCTCAAAATGCTATATGGTGCTATTACTTGTGTCTGTTTTTCTAGTGGTGTTTAAGTGTGTCAGTTTAGGTTTATATAGAAACAGGATCAGTAAAAGGTTAAAATCAGTGATGGGTCCAATATTAGTCCTGTTCTAGATCTGGTATAGTCTTGAGTTGTTCCTGGTTTAGTCCTGGCTTAGTCCTGGCTTAGTCCTGGCTTAGTCCTGGCTTAGTCCTGGCTTAGTCCTGGCTTAGTCCTGGTTTAATCTTGTTTTAGTGCTGGTTTAGTCCTGGTTTAGTCCTGGCTTAGTCTTGGTTTAGTGCTGGTTTAGTGCTGGTTTAGTGCTGGTTTAGTCCTGGCTTAATCTTGTTTTAGTGCTAGTTTAGTGCTGGTTTAGTCCTGGCTTAGTCCTATCTTAATCTTCTTTTAGTGCTGGTTTAGTCCTGGCTTAATCTTGTTTTAGTGCTGGTTTAGTCCTGGTTTAGTCCTGGTTTAGACCTGGCTTAGTCCTGGCTTAGTCCTGGCTTAGTCCTGGTTTAGTCCTGGTTTAGACCTGGCTCAGTTCTGGCTTGGCTTAGTCCTGGGTTAGTCAGTTCTTGGTGGCTTTCTCGATTTTAGTTAATTAATATTCATTGTTCAGATCAGTTGTGTATTTTGCATGATTGTTGTTTTTTTTTAAGTGAGAAACTCAACTAGTACCTTCTGTGTAAATAATTTCACATAGTTTAGACTAGATGGAGGTACCAGATCACAATATAAGCAGATGCTGCCCCCATGTGGCCACCAAGTAGAGTTTCAAGTACACTGTGACTGTAGAAGTAAAGGCACCATTTATTAGTGTAGTGCAGTATTTTAAAATGATGCCTTTATAGCTTTTTCCTACAGTATACCAGTTTTGTTTCATTCACTTAGACTTTAAAGATACAATGCATGGAGATGTTATTGCTTAACCAGGACAGCCCAATGTTACACCTTTAAACATATAAATACAATAATTCCTTCTCTGAACTGGGGCGACTCTCCACAGATCTGAGTTGTAATGTGGCGTAGTGCTGTAACCTGCTTGTCTCCCTTGTGATATATAGGTTTAATCAATACTGTGGAACATTCTAGACAAAGCAATAACATGTCAATGGAGACAAGCAGGTGGTGGACCCTACACTAGAAATGTTGCACAGTGTACCTTAAATATAACAAATATTACAAATGAAATTGAAATATGGACTTTTATCCAACTTGACAAACGTTCCCACATGTTTAACTGATGAAAATGATTTGTGTGGACAGTTACTCGCCTGTGGTTTATCGATTGCGGACAGCATGTCTTGAACTCGTTTCCCGTCCAGGTCATTATCTGGAAAAAAAAAAAAAAAAAAAAGTTATTCAAATGTTTACAACCGAGTTTACATTAAAAGTAAAATTACATTAAAATCTTACAGCAATTTTGCCATAGTATTGAAACCAGGCAGGTCTTAAAGGTCCGAAATTACTTTTTTCTCTATTCTGTGCTTTAAGCCATGTTATAATGTGATTACCTCATCAAAAACATAACTGGAGTTGTGTTTTGTTTTATTCAGCCTAAATATGCAGGGTTTGTGTGTTAAACATGAAAAAAACAAAACACAACTCTAAGTATATAACAGATCAGAAAATAGTGTCACATGAGCTCTTTAAAGGTGCACAATGTAATTTTATTCCCAGCTTTTCTTCAAGGATATGTTATAGCTTTGCCTGGAACGTTCCACAGTATAGCATTGAAATTCTTGCTGTAACGTCTCCAAAAAAAGCTATACAGTGCACCTTTATAGAATATGCACCTGAACATGGAATTTTTTGCAAGGAAAAAACATTGCTTTTTTTTTTTTTTTTAGTTTGTCATCCACAGAAGAACATGGCCAAAAAACATTTACAACTTCTCGGTAGTGGAACCACACATGGTTACTTCATCTAATCAAGAAAGAGGGGATGAACAATTGGAAAAAGAAATAAAACAATTTACCAAAAAACATTAGTCATTCAATCCGGACTTAAAGCTAATAGAACATACAAACATGTCTCTTTTTGACAATAGCAGTTCAGTTCTGTTACAAAGGAGCCTGTTGATAACTCTGCTCTCATTAGCAGATACAAATCGCTCCAGTAATCATGATTATGTATTATTTTCAATCAGGCGTTTCTACATCTGTGGATAATTGCTGGCAGGGCAATTTGACGTCAGCTTCAATGACATCATGTAAAAAAGGACAATGCCAAATGGATAGGGTTTCCTCACAACGCTGCTTCAACAAAACAAGGAAGGGCTTGTGTGAATAATGTACAGTATGGTCTGTTCCAGTGAAAAAAAACGACTGGAGATTTCTGGTCAGATGTAGGAAATTATAGTGAAACAGGAAGTGCAAAATTCTACAGAAATGACCTCATTACATAGGCCTACATTTAATTCTTGTTCATTACTGTTCCACAATTGGTACTTCTCAGAGACATCATGTTGGAGGTGACATATATGTCTATGGTGGAATGTTCAGCAGTTACCATGGTGACGCAATGCACATATTAGAAAACACTGACAATTTTTTTTTAAGATAACATAAAAATGCTAAATGGATATAAACAAATAATTTTCAGGAGCCTGTGACCAATGCGAGAGTTCATGATCCTGTTTAGGTGTTTGATTTTCAACAAAACTGTGAGAGAGACTTAAAAACTGTTGGCTGTTTTATGTGTGGGAGACTAACGCTTAAACCTTAGACAGAACATTGCTTACAGTTAGCATCACACTCCCAGGGAATGCTGATGACATAAGCAAAGTATCAAGTACACTTTACACTACTGCACTTTCTATTTCATATTTGAACATAGTAATGGGTGACATATCGGTAATAAATATCAGTATCAGTGATATTGAAAATGTGGCCGATATTTGGAACATATATTTCTTCTATGCTCTTGTGTTATTCCCAATTTGTCAATAAGATATCCCAAATAAATACATTTTGTTATTATGTTTTACAAAAGTGAAAAGTTAATTTGTGAACCTAACATCTTAATCAGTATCTAAGAATTCTGATTATAGGCCACAGCAGCAACACAAATATTGAAGTTTTAGATCCATATCGAATCACCCCTATTTGAAACCTTACATTGTACTGTCAGAGCAAATCATCTGCCTTCATCATGCAGTGAGTATTTGACTAACATAAGTTTTACATCAGATGTCCTTCCAAAAAAAAAAAAAAAATCACCATTACATATACTCTGATTCACAACTTTATCTTGGGTCACTTAATTCTGACCAATTTGACTTTATTTGAGTTCTTTGTTTAATTTTGATGACGACAACAGAACACAAACAAAAGCTATACAGACATGGGCTCAGACATGAAAACCACCATAACGTCATATACCACTAATAAAAACACTTCTTTAAAAGGTAATGGGCCACTTTCAAGGCTTTAGGAAAATCACTAGTAAGTATGCATTGTAATTTTAGCACGTTGTTATTTTTTCTCTTGCAGTGTCTCGGTTTTTGACAACTACTTTAAGCCACTTGTTGAAATACGTGCATACACACACATACACACACGTACTGAATACTTCTATGCAAATCTAAGCTAGAAAAACACATGCGCTGGTCTGTTTTGACATGTCCACAGGTAATTTAAGGGGCACCAGGGTACGGAGCAGTGGGTAATGGAAGACTGTCCCCCAGATTTGGTGCTCGGGCCTGGGGTTTTTCCATCAGAGGAGGCCTGCTTTTCTCATCTGAGCTGGAGCACTGTAAATCACACTGAGCACATGTGGCCGTAGAGGTGAGAGAGCAGAGACACAGAGAGGAGAGACAGGAGGATAAAGAGAGGATAATGATTTTAAAGGGAACATGTTACGCTATTTTCTGATCTATCTAGTTATAATGTTGTTTCCTCATCACAAACATATCTGGAGTTGTGATTGCATTCACACATGTTTAACACAGAAATCCTGCATGTTTAGGCTGAGTTCTTCTCGATGTCATGTGGTAAAACAGGAAGTGCTCCATTGTGTTTTTAAACTCCATACACCTTCACTAAAATCATTTGGATAATTTCAGCCCTGGAGTCGCCAAAATCTAATAAACAAAAGGTAAACAGTAGCTGTTAACTTGACATCACAAGGTGAAACGAAGCATTTTGATTATTGGAGATGTAGACAGACTAATAATAAAAGATTACTTAAACGTGTCTGAATGAAAGAAAACACAACTCCAATTTTGTGCAATATAGGATCTTTAAGAAGTACCATGCAAAAGTTATAAAGATATTTTTTTACTTTGTGCAGACAATAACAATATACTAACTTTACTTGCTCCTTGCCTCTTGCTTACAACACTACACACATTAAAACACAATAGTTCCTTGTCCACACGTGCCATCAGTAGATCTGTGTTAGTGTTGTGTGCACAGCAGCCCCTTAACACTGTGATGAATGATGCCTGTGTGTGTATACGGAGGAGCGTGCTTGTGAGAAGATACGTGCGTGTGTGTGTGTGTGTGCGTGTGTGTGGAGCCTGGGGGTGCTCGTATGACTCATGGCAACAGTGATGTCATGGAAGCACGACCTCGGATTGACCCCTACGGCGAATGTGTGTGCGGCGTGTGCGTGTTGGAATAATAAAGAAGGAGCAATAGAGAGGCTGATCGGGTTACCGTGGTGAGAGTCAGGCTACTGTGGGTTCAACAGGTGGAAAATACACAAATGCGCTGGTACTACAAAGTGTACTGCATTGTACCAAGGATTTACCAGGATGAAGTAATCTGTACGCAGGTGAAAGTACTATGAACTTTCACTTGAAGAGCCAAACAAATCCAACTATAACAAATATGCAAAAGTAAGGAGGGCATCCATATAAGACAAACAGAAGGAGTAGTTGTAGTAGTAGCCGACATACATAGTAGTAATAGTCAGAGTAGTGGTGGTATTAACTATAAACAAGAAATATAATAGTAGTAGTAACAGTGATGATATAAATAAATTCACTTAAAGATACAAAGTGTAACTTTTCCAGTGGGGGGGCTGTCACATAGAGATGTTTTTGCTTTTGCTTATTCTACTGTATTTTACTATTAAACAAACATTTATTTCAGCTCTCCACAGATATGACCCTAACTAACTTGACCTGGTGGTGTCAGCTGCTTGTCTTTCATGCCATACTCTAGAACATGCACACAAAGCATTACAATCTATATGTACGATGTATCAGAAAAGTTCCATAGTTCGTCTTTAAGAAAATATTGTACAAAATCTTAGCATTAACCTGGTCTTTGCAAGGACCAGCAGTCCACTTTGAGACTGTGAAGATGACCAAACTAAACTAGAAAACACTAGACGTTGCTTTTAAATTTTGGCTGTTCTAAAAATGACCTCATGAAGTAATTTCCACAATAGACCCAAACTGTAACTTTCCAGCTCTTAACGGGTTCATAGACAGACATCATCTTCCAGTGAAAATAAGGAACACAAGCTTTTCAGGATAAAAAAAGTGCCCTGTCTTGTTAGCACTCGTCCAAAGCAGCTTCAAACTGCACAGAGGAGACCTGGAATTCCATGACGTGATGGCTCAGCTGTCAGGTTCACTGGGAGCAGATGTTAAGAAGCACTAAAGCTGTCTGACTTAAAGGTGCACTGTGTAACTTGTCCACTGGAGGGTCCATCACCTGTTTGACTCCATAAACATACGTATCTGCGCGGGGACTCGTGAACCAAATTACAGGTAAGATTTGTGGAGAGGCGACCCCACTCACAGTTAGAATGGATTTTTTTTTTTTTTTTTTTTTGTTTTTAGATATTTATACTGTGGATAATTTAAATCAAAGCATTAACATTTCCATGGAAACAAACAGGTTGCAAAACCCACTCCAGAAAAGTTACACAGTGCACCTTTAAAGATACTCTGTGCAACTTTTCTGTTGGAGGTCAGTTAACTTGATGTCTCTATAGAGATGTTAATGCTTTGAATTGATTATTTCACATTATGGAACTATACTTATCCTTGTTTGGAGGCAACCAGGTAACCCCATGAGGCAAAATTACAGGTCAGATCTGTGGAGAGGTCTGCTTGCTTATAGTAGAAGTGCTTTATTATTATTTTTTCAAGAAATAAAAACATCTGTAATAGAATAAATGCAACACAGATACCGATAAGGTTAATGTCCTACTGTGAAACTTTCCAAGCAAAGCCATAACATCCCTAGGAGACAAGTAGTTGGAAGAGCTCTCACAAAATGACTGACGATTAGAAATGACTGAATCTTGGTCTCAATTAAAATTCGATCAAACCCACACAACCCTTTTTTACAATTCAACAGAAATACAGAGACA